AAATTTTTATCATTCATAAACCTTCCCTGTGGTGACGTGATGTTCCACAAAAAATTTGGGCCCGATCGGTTCAGCCGTTTTGACGTTTATTGGATACAAACAGACAGACAAACAGACAAACACCAAGACAAGCTAAATTTATTTTTTTTATTTTCAATACTTTCATTTAAAACTTAAATCACGCCCAGGACTAACCAGGGCGAGAAAGACATGCATTCGGTTTCTACGATTTAAAAATCATGTGTTAGTCTGTAACAATCTCGAAACGGAACTGTCTATTTATACTTTTCCATTTAACCGCATATGCCAACAAAAACGAATAAAAAAAAAGGGGGATCATCTTTTTATTTAATTTGTCAAATTGTGATCAAATTGTGGTCTGCAGTTCTCTGAGACAAGGATCAAACCGTTATATCCGCGTGAGATAATGTCTTTTTAGTTCAAATGCCTAATGCAATAAAAAAATATATAAGTGAGTTGAACTTCTCTTAGCAGCCTGAATCTTTGTGCGTAAAAACATCCTACTCTGGCAAAGAGAATAGAATATATATTAGAGGGGAATTTACTAGAAAAAAGTGTAAAACGGCTATTTTGTTGTATTGTTTCCATACTGCAGGTATAATTAACATATTTATGCTATAAAACCTTTTGGGCCCTAGAATATCATTTTATAGAAAATTTAAAATTGATATTAAAAGAAAACCAAATTATGAAAAAGGCTGGTTTCATAATTGACCAATGATCATTTCACATAGACTCTATGCCTTTTACTTTACAAACGATGATTTTCCGTTATAACTATAAATAAAATGATGTTTTATTCACCTAATTCATTTTATAAAGTTTATTTAACAGCTTTAACAAATTTGAAATTGAAATGGATAGTCTAGGGAACATACTGTATTAATGTACTCTACTGCACATAATTTGTGAACATTTACATGATTTGTACACTTTGAACTCCCTTTACGGCTGAAAGGGAATAAAAAAGATCACCGAAAGATTCTTTAAATTTCTCTCTTATATATATTCTATTCTCTTTGTACTCTGGTGTACGTATAATGATTATGAATCATATTTAACAAATTAAGGGACCTTGCGCTTCTGGGTTTGGAGTTTGTTGTTATTTTGAGTACATGTGCTCGAGTTCTACATCTGAGAACGGTACATACTTCGTGAACCCGGCTACTCCTCATCCTATGTGCAATCTCATGATAAACAGGTATTAAAGATTGCAATGCACATTTTACAACGGTTTCCTTGGATACTTGATCCAAACAAAAACGTGGAAGATACCGTCGTTATCCTCACTAAAAAAATTGTTTAGTTATAATAATTTCTCCATTGCTACTTGTCAGTGAGAAACTCGCAAGTTGCACTTTTAAGAAACCGAAAAAGAAAATAAACAATTTAAAGGAACAAAAACATGGATATCCAATTCATACTACAGTTTTAAATAAGACATTGCCATATTTTAATGGAGGGCAACTTAAAATTACGCTTACAGTCCACTAGGCCTGGGTAAAGTTCTGGTTTTTGAAAATTTACTTTATCTTGCGGTAAGGAATGCTAGTTCATAATTTGTAAATGAACAAAAATGAACGGATGTAGGATGTAGGGTGGCCAGCGAAATGGGAAAATCGTTTCATGAATCGCCGAAAATTTCGCATTTTTAGCACTTCGTTTGTAGAAACATTTTGTTTTGATTTGAAATTAAAGGATTGTTCAAATATTTGGCTAATGTTGGAGGTATAGAAATTAAATAAACAAAAGTGCGCTTGCATATTTAGTTCATGTAATGGTAATTGTAATGGTAAACATACATAAATATACAGCTGGTTACCCATTGCAAACACGACCAATTTATTATTTTAAATGAAGAGTACTTTATGATCTGGCAAAGAACGAAAAATGTTTCCAGTTGCAGAGAATATGAGTTTAAGGAAAAGGAAAGTTAAATATTTATTGTTATTTAATATAACTGGTGGTGGATTGTTAATATTTTTCAACGATGAACTAACAACTTTTAGAAATGAAAATTACATATTTATTTGTAATGTTGTAAAATAAAATAAGCTTTCAGGGTTGTGAAAAAGATAGAGGTATTTGTCGTCATTACAGTCGCCATCTATGTGCAAACCTTTTGTTGGTGTCTATAAAGTTCAATCTTATACTAGAATAGGACACGACACAGTAAATTATAATTAAGGTATTATCCTTTTATCCAAAGTTAGTGTAAATGTCGTTTTCTTTTGGCACTATGCATGTCGTCTTTCTTTGATTATTTTTTATATTTACAGAATGAATGACGATATCTGTCAGATCAAACTACAACTCGACGTATTTGAGATTGCTGGACCTGATGACAAAGGTGAAATCATATGTCAAACATTGTAAAACATTTGAATGACGAGTGTTCAAGGGGTGACTGCATTTTCAGTTTTCTAAACAATGCATTTAGGGTGCTTCGTGCCCCCTTTCCTATGAACAATTTCAGCTTTTTTAACGTAAAAATAAATGAATGAAATAAAAAAATAATGAATGTTAACATTTACTTTCATGTTTGTCTGCTTGTTTGCTTGTCATATCATAACTCAGAAACCCCTTAACTGATTTTCCTCAAATTTGATTGGAGAACTCGGGAGTCCCGCGGGAATGTTCTTAACTTGGTTTTGAGATTATGAGTTAAGTGGGTCGACATTAATGGCGATTATTTTGTTTCCAGGTAAAATCATTCAAGTGCGGATAAACGGCGGAGTAACTTTTAGTAACCTTGGCAGCGCTGGGTTTCCAAGCTAGTAAAACAATATATAAAGTATTTATCTAAAAGTTTTTTGTTTGTTTGTCTGATCATAACTTGCAGAAACCCCTGGACCGATTTGTTACCTGGCAAAGCTGGGTTCCCAAGCTTGTTTACATAATAAAGTTATGTTGTTATGTATTTGACTGTCAAATTAAGCGTTGTATATTAACACTGACAGTTTGACACTTCAATCAAAAATACTTTTTAGGAGAGTGTTCTGATGAATTCTTTCTTGTAACTGGTGGTAGCCCCGTCCCACCAATCTGTGGTCTAAACTCAGGGTAGGCTTTAAAACTGCTTGAAATTATAAAATAAAAAAGAAAAAGAAAATTTTTATATTTTTATATTTTTTTACTTCATGTTATTCATGAATCCTTCTCAATTTTTGCAAAAATTTCTATCAAAAATATGTTTTGATATTTAAATTACTAGGCTTTACGGGCGCTTCGAGCACGTCTCCTATTTTAACTTTTAACTGTGGCTATCTATGAGCATCTTCTCTTTGTACAAATAAAAAAAAACATTTAAAAACTAAAAATCACCGATTTAATAATATTTTTCGGTGGATTTACAAATATTAAATACTTTTGGACACAGTTTTTTGCAATTTTGAGCATCTTCCCTATGGGGTCATGTGAGGTCACACACAAATCTTTGGCCCGATAGATTTTACGCACATTGTTTGATCTAATAACGATTGTAATCAAATCCCAACAAATCAATTGACAAGAACGTTAATGGATTAGATATGCATACATTTATGCAAAATTATTTCTTTGCTTATGATGTTACAAAAGATGACATTAGCTCACATCTGAAAAAAGTATACAAAAGAGATGCGTTACTGATTCACAAATTCAGGTTTATCCTTATATTCAATAAATGATTAAATAACTTTTGAAATTAGATTTAATATTATTAATTTGTGTTCATATATTTAGCACCAAACATTCACTATTGTGTTAAATAACTGCGGTTTTAATGTCGATTGTTGAACGCTCAAGCAACCAAAATAATCAATGGCGTAGTCTAATGCAGATGTACATACAGTACACAAAAGTCAGCAAAATTTCTATTGCATTTATAATTATTATATTATATTATTATATTATTATTTATCATATTTATGTTTATATTATAGAGAACCTTTGAATTCAACTGTTTTGACATTTATGACAAAAAGACAGACAAGAAAAGTAGATATATAGACGTGTTTTGTGTTTCTAGGCAGCATCTAATCTACTCTATAACCCCTGACAGTGGCCCTTCTCAGCTCTCTGTTATCCTTTCAGTTTCTTCTACGATGTCCTCCAATGCCAGACTTTGGAACATTAGAATATATCAGGTTAATACAAAACAGAGATGGATGCTTTCGGCTATTTTTATAATTTGTTCGTTCATGGTTTGTTAACAACCAAATTCGTTTTTTTTCAGTCGTTCAGAAAAATTCTTTCATATAATTATCGTTAATTTTTCATAATTTTTTTTCGTTTTCTAACTGAACGATCGTTCAATAAAACAATTTGTATAATGAGGTCGATGGTACAGTAAAATCGTTCTTTTCATAAAATTTTTCTTTTTAAAAGTTTGCTATTAAGAGATCGTTTGTTCAATAAAAACATACGTTTTTCAAAAGTTCGTTCAAATAGGTCGTTTGTTAAAAAACACATCGTCCTTTAAATTTTGTAGAATAATATCGTTCCTGTTCGAAATTAATCAATTTAAAAGTGTCTCCTGTACTTTAGGTCCAGGAATTCTGAAAACATGATTTGGATTTAACTAATCTTTTATTTTTGAAAGTTTTTGTCAAACAAAGTTTTCGACACTTGACAATTAACAAAATTATGTAAAATCTATATAAAGGGCTACCAACCTATATAAAGGGCTACCAACCTATATAAAGGGCTACCAACCTATATAAAGGGCTACCAACCTATATAAAGGGCTACCAACCTATATAAAGGGCTACCAACCTATATAAAGGGCTACCAACCTATATAAAGGGCTACCAACCTATATAAAGGGCTACCAACCTATATAAAGGGCTACCAACCTATATAAAGGGCTACCAACCTATATAAAGGGCTACCAACCTATATAAAGGGCTACCAACCTATATAAAGGGCTACCAACCTATATAAAGGGCTACCAACCTATATAAAGGGCTACCAACCTATATAAAGGGCTACCAACCTATATAAAGGGCTACCAACCTATATAAAGGGCTACCAACCTATATAAAGGGCTACCAACCTATATAAAGGGCTACCAACCTATATAAAGGGCTACCAACCTATATAAAGGGCTACCAACCTATATAAAGGGCTACCAACCTATATAAAGGGCTACCAACCTATATAAAGGGCTACCAACCTATATAAAGGGCTACCAACCTATATAAAGGGCTACCAACCTATATAAAGGGCTACCAACCTATATAAAGGGCTACCAACCTATATAAAGGGCTACCAACCTATATAAAGGGCTACCAACCTATATAAAGGGCTACCAACCTATATAAAGGGCTNTGAAACATCGCAAAATTTAATGCGGGTAGCTGTAGATAGAAATTCAGGTTTAAATAAAGTCAAAAGTGACACTGTACAGTTTACCATTGGATCATACAGTGAAACTAATAGAAAGGAGCAATTTCAGATGTTGGTAATGAACAAAATTAATTGAAATTTAATAAACATATTAAAGATATATGAAAAATATAATTATTTTATATATATAATATATGAAGTAATATAAATGAACTTTAAAATTCTTAGATTTAAAGTGGGAATACAGCAGGAACTAACCGTCTATCTAACCTAGATTATTCTATCTTTATCCTAGATTGGTAGTGGGAATACAGCAGGAACTAACCATCTATCTAACCATAGATTATTCTATCTTTATCCTAGATTGGTAGTGGGAATACAGCAGGAACTAACCATCTATCTAACCATAGATTATTCTATCTTTATCCTAGATTGGTAGTGGGAATATAGCAGGAACTAACCATCTATCTAACCTAGATTATTCTATCTGTATCCTAGATTGGTAGTGGGAATACAGCAGGAACTAACCATCTATCTAACCTAGATTATTCTGCCTGTATCCTAGATTGGTAGTGGGAATAATGCAGGAACTAACAATCTATCCAACCTAGATTATTCTATCTGTATCCTAGATTGGTAGTGGGAATATAGCAGGAACTAACCATCTATCTAACCTAGATTATTCTGCCTGTATCAGGATGTCATCAGGTAAATGTCATGAGAAAACTATTTTTTGTTAGAAATCATAAATCGTGGGACCAGGNCTGGGGGGTCCTAAAGGGGCTTTGTAATTTCATGCAAAGGTTACAATGCTCGATTCACAAAGATACCCTTCAAAACCATTCTCCAATAAATAATGTGGAAGATACTGTCGTTTTTCTTGTTTAAAAAAGTGTTAAAATCTTAATATTACAATAGTTTTGCGCGTCTGCAGTATAAATGCGGAAGTAACTTTTTGTAGAGAAACCACAATAGAAAAATAATTAGCTCTATAAATTAAAAAAATTTAAAACTCCTATAATACTTAACCAGGCAAAGCTATCAAGGCTGGTGCCGTTGTGAATCAGGTTGTATCATCTTTGCATTAAAAATACGCTTACAAGTTACAGGAGGGGAGGGAGGCCAACCACATCAATCTCTAGTCCGAACCACATTCTTCCCTAACGTCGCCATATTTTTAAAAAATGTATTTATTTTCAAGGATCGGACACTTAAAAAAAATAATTGAAAGGACGAGGATTTCGATGTGGTTCGGACGAGAAAATGATGAGAATGTGGTTCGGACTAGAGATTGATGTGGTTGGCCTTTCTCCCCTCGTTACAGTCCCTTAAAAACGCCCATAAATGCCGAATATATTTCATTTGTATTCCTGATTCCCCCCTTCAATTTTTTTTAAAAAGCATAAAAATCTGAAAAAATGGTGAATCTTAAAGAAAAGGCTACAATCTACATGACTTGTTCCAGATAGAGTGGTGCTAAACACCCTGAATTTGTTTAGGATATTGCGGAATACGATGGTCCCAATATCCCAGTGATAGTGTATCCTTTACTCTTAGTGGAGATAGTAGTATTCTGACTACCACTTCTCCGCAGAAAGTACAGGTATAAACTTCATTAAACTTCACTAGGAGATAGTAGTATTCTAACAACCACTGCTCCACTAAAAGTTGAGGTAAAAATTTCATTAACTCCGCTATGTTAAAAGATATTAGTATTCTTTAACTACCACTTCTCCGCTGAAAGTACTAGTATAAACTCCATTAAACTCCACTAGGTATTCTAACGACCACTACTCTACGGAATGTTACAGGTATAAACTCTATTGAACTCCACAAGGTAGAGATATTAGTAATTTAACTACCACTACTCCACTGAAAGTATAACAGGTATAAACTCTATTTAACGCCACAACGTGAAGATATTAGTATTCTAACTACCACTACTCCACTGAAAGTACAGGTATAAACTCCATTAAACTCTACAAGGTGGAGATAGCAGTATTCAAAGTTCCACTACCTCACTGAAATAACAGGTATAATCTCCAGTAAACTCCACTAGGTGGAGATAGCAGTATTCAAAGTTCCACTACTCCACTGAAAGTACAGGTATAAACTCCAGTAAACTCCACTAGGTGGAGATAGTAGACCAGTATTGTAAATTCCACTACTCCATATAATATTAATAATAATAATAATAATAATAATAATAATAATATATTAGTATGTTTATGACTATGCACGGTATATAAATGTATGTACACTGTACAGAATGTAAAGTACGGGATACTGCATTTGTGTACGACTATGTACGGATATATAAATGTATGTACACTGTACAGGATGTAAATTACGTGGATAATGCATGTGTGTACGATTATGTACGGATATCTAAATATATGTACATTGTACAAGATGTAAAGTACGTGGATACTGCGTGTGTTTACGATTATGTACGGATATCTAAATATATGTACACTGTACAGGATGTAAAGTACGGGAATACTGCGTGTGTGTACGATGATGTACAGATATCTAAATATATGTACACTGTACAGGATGTAAAGTACGGGGATACTGCGTGTGTGTACGATTATGTACGGATACCAGGTGGAAGTGAGGATGGGTCAACTCACACCTCCAGGGAAAGGTAAACAAAGCAAAACAAAAAAATCTTTTCCAAGTTTAGAAATTCAAATTTAAATTTTCATTTCTTGTTCGTCTTATGAATTCAAAAATTTTGCAACAGATAAGAATATTTTTATTTACTGCAGTCTCATTCTTCGTGAGCCTTTGGTTGGATAACCCATGAATTACAACATGAAGCAATTATAGCATGCACAGCAGCACAATCATAAAATTGTAAATTGTTTATTTTAAATGAAATTACAATGATATATTCTTTGGAGAAAAAAAAACAGTGGTAGCGGGTAAACGAGAGATTGAGACACAGCTTAGACTCTTCATAGTTTAGAATAAGAAATTAAAAATATTTTTTCCCATAAATTTTATTGCTTCACCATATCGTTGTTTCATCGCTGGAAAAACAATTTCTTTTACAAAACTCTTTTTCCTTCAACAATAAAAATTACACATTGTTTATGTAAAGAAAGAAACAAATCGCATTTCTTATTCTGAACTACGTCTTTATTGAGTTTTGACTATAAATAAAAACCGCTTGTTCGACCGCTATCGTTGAGTTTTTTTTCTCTAAAGAATATATCATTGATATAATTTATACTATTTGCTTTATGTGTAGTTTACTGGAAAAAGATTATATATTATTTTAGATTTTGTGGGTTGGCTCTAGGATTTTGCCGGGTGCAGACTGGGAAAACTGTTGATTGTGCTGCTGCACTGGGATCTGTTATATCATACAGGAACCGCCATTTTGACAAGACATCAACGCCATTTTGACAAGACATCAACGCTATTTTGACTAGACATCAACGCCATTTTGACAAAACATCAACGCAATTTTGACAAGACATCAACGCCATTTTGTCAAGACATCAACGCAATTTTATCAAGACAAACGCCATTTTGACAAGACATCAACGCAATTTTAAAATATTCATTACCTAAATCATGGTATTTTGTTTTGTAGGCCGAAGCAATAGTAATCTTTTAACGAATTTCTAAAACAATTTGCAAAAGCATGATTAAAGATGGCACTATCATGCTCTCCTATATTTACAAAACAGAAATGTCAATAATCGGCATTTTTTTCAAACAGCTGGCAATACCATGAAGAGAAAAGTTAGAAAAATCAGAAATCAGCAACCTGTGGTTTATATCAGCTGTGACTTACTAGTAATTTCCCAAAGTCGTTTCTGCCTTATAATAAAAATTCATAGAATCCGCGCAAGATGGAGCTAATAAACTGATTAAAAATGGAGGTATCTTTTTAGCAAACCCTTCCTGCTAGGCGTAGTTACTGATGGAGAGGAGGGTGGTCCAACTACTGCAAACAATTCACCTCAGGTATACAATTATATACTTCCCAGGGACAAGATTTAATTTACCATTACCGAGATTTAGGTATATTAGTATAAAACCAAATGACAAATTGTCAAGACGACATTTTATAAATTCTTTCGATGGCTCCGAAGTTTTGGGTTAAACTGTACGTTTAAACTTGAATATTATTCCATCTCTTTCATTATTTGCTCTGAAACTTGCAATCCAAAGGTTTATTAGAGGTGGGAGGGACTATTGGGGCTTCACGCTCCACCCTAGACAAATTCTTTTATATTCCCTTGATTTTGTTATATATATATATTTCCTTAATTTTGTTATATATATATTCCCTTGATTTTGTTTTATATGTATATTCCTTTGATTTTGTTTTATATAAATATATTTTCAGGATAAAGGAAATCGTGGTTTTAAGCTTGTATATAACCAACAGCCCTGTATGACTGGATGATAGCTTTTATGTTCAAATTATAACAAATAATGACAAATAAATATTTAATGAATTGTATAAAGTTTTGTCATAATATAAGACGACATTTAATGGAGTGTTTTATTTACAAATAGGGATGAAGTGTCTAAATTTTCAACGTGGATAAAGTCACAATTATTCCTAGAAATCTAGAATATTCGATGTACAATTTATATTCTGTCATTTTTAGAAAATAAATATTAATGTTCATTAAATATAAAACAGTAAACAAAATTTTCAACTATTAAAAACAGTTCAGTACAAAAATTAGGAAAATAAATATTAATGTTCATTAAATATAAAACAGNCCCCCTCTAAATTCCATGTTTGATGTTCAAATATGACAAATGATACATCATTAGAAAGCTCTTGTGCTCACCTTGTAGAATCTGCAAAAAAAATTGCAAATTTGCAATTATGTCAAAGGCTTTCCCAAAATCTAAATTTGATCAAAATCTGACAAGTGGAAGTGGGTCAAAACAAAGATTTAGTTTGTTACAGGAAAAAGCAGTCATTCAGGCAGTGTGCCTGAGGACTCAGGCAGTTAGTATTAAAGCCCAGTTTTAGGCCTAAAAGGAGGGCTTTGGGTATCTAGGAAAAGTCAGAAAATTTCAACAGCCTCAGACCAATACTTTTTGAGTTATGTAAAAAAAAACTCAAGGGGGGGTCAAATTGACCCCCCCCCCTGCAGGAAAAGGGTTAAATTTAAAACAGTAAACAAAATGTTCAACTATTACAAGTGGTTCTGTACAAAAAATAGGTCATCCTTGATCAGTCAAATGAAAGTTTACTGGAAATTACAGCTACAGTCCCTTTAATAACGTAGTAAACCTTTTTATCAGAATGTCATACCTGTTAAAGTCCAAAATATAACATGGCCTGAAATTATAATGTTTGAAAAGTTTTATTATGTTTAAGCGTAATGTCATGTGACTCTCCATACAAAAATGACAATGCCTGATTTACAACGGTATACTCAAAAGCTTTTCTGATCAAGTATGAATGAGATATTAATGTTTTTTTTTCTTATAAATTGTTTAATTTCTATTGCGGGTTCGCTGAAAAAGTAACCAGTGCATTTCTCGCATACAAGAAGCAATGACGAAGTTATCAGAATTAAATACTTTTTGAGTCAGAAAAACTATGTATGGTAAATCTTTAACATTTTTTATCAGATTAAGGTTTTAATGGAACCGGTGAAAAACGGGAATTTCTATTTTTTGCATGGAAGGTTGCTTGAACTTACGCTTACAGTCCCTTTTAAAAAGTTTAATTATGTTTTAAAAGTGGGAGTTTTAATGTAAACATTAGAATTATAATCATTAAACATGGCCTGGACAGTTTGCAGGTTTGGGTTCAGTATCTAGGATACCACAAGGTATATCATACAGTCCACACATTTACTCAAACCTTTCTTTTTTAAAATATTGCAAGAAGGAATTGAGTCTTTGCAACAAACTCGAATTTTCTAATCCTTTTATCTTTGCTTAATGTGTAAATCTTTGATATTTCAAACTCAGATATTTTATCATAGAAATCATAGTTTGAAATATAAAAGGCCTACTGAGGTCTCAGACATTGGATTGCAAAGAAATAGGAATTAGAAAATCAGACTTTGCTACAAAGATTCAATTCCTATGCAGTCAGCTTTTTTAATTTACTTTGAAATCTTGCATCATAAAAAGCCTTTAAAAATATTTGATTTCCTCTTCTTGTGTTTAACAAGTAAACGATCGGAGATATGTGGTAGCAAAGTCTTGCCTCCTGTATTTCCTCATAGAATTAATTTCTTCCTTTACTTTTTTTAAATTAAAAACGCATCCACCAACAAATAGTATAATAAAGAAAAGGGGAAATTCTTTTTTGATTAGTCAAATTGTANCCCCCCTGGAAAGAGAAAAAAATTTAAGCCCCCCCCTGGACAAATTCCTGAATACGCCCCTGATTACCTACCTACAAAGGATGAGACTTCAGAGACGACTTTACTAAATGTATAATGTCTGTTTCCTTATATTCCTGATTCCTTGCAGCTGTAACCTTTTTCTCTCTTTCTCAAATCATTGAATAAGCCATTTAAAGGCTAAATTCAAGGCAAAAGTCATAATTTTAACATGAGATCGTCATATTTAAAGAGCTTCAAGAATCAGACTTATTACTTTGTCGGTATTTAAATAAATATCTTTGTTATTCTAATAAATATTTTATAAGAAATCTAATAAAAAATATTTTGAAGAATCGGTTTTAGTATTTAATTATTTATAAGTATCGATTCGCTAGCATTTCCGTCCTTTAAATGTCATAAAAAAGAAAGCTATGGATGTTAGATATCTATCGATGTTAATTTTTAAATAGGTGAAAAATATAATAACTTTCTAATACCCGAAGAAGCGAAGGTTTTATATGAACCCACCCTGATATCCTAGCTACCATTGTAACGTGTTGCTTTCACTCTGTGTTTTAATATTAATGTATTATCGGCTTGAAGACTTGAAGAATATATTAGTATCAGTTGTATAGGACAGCTGAATAGTGAACACACATAGTAGATAAATAGAGAAATATACAGTAGTATTTTTACCCACAGTTTATCAGCTAAAAACAACAAATATCGTCTATAATATAGTTTTTAAAGTAAATCATTTTTGGCATAGATACAAATTTTAAAAAGTTTTATCTTTAAATGGTTTTAATTCTAGACATACTTTTTCTGTCCAAATTTCGATTTCTTTATATTATTTCCTGGTTTATTATTTTCTTTTTTGTTATTTGTTATTTTTTTTTAAATATTCTGACTTTGAGGCTGCTTGTATTGAATTAATATGTTTAATGATGTAAACCACCTGTTATTGTATTCAGTCGTATTCAGCTGATATAGAACTTATCTATTTTCAAAACAGTGAAAACAATATACAAACATACAGATATACAGAGCGTCTCCTAGTGAATAGAAGGGATGTATGTTAAGGGGGGGGGNTCATCTTTAATAGGGGGCACATTTTACATTTTACATCCAATAAATATGATACCTGAGCTGGGAACTTTTGAATGGTGGATATAGGAATTAATGCTTGATCCACTCTTTTTTCTTATTCTCGAGATTAAATAATGCTTGTTCTCCTCTCGTTATTAATCTCCAGATTAATTAACCGACCAGGATTAAGGATGTCGACCCAATCTAAAGTTTTCAGCCTAGGCTATCATGGTGTTTCTTTTAATTCAGTCTGTTTGCTTAATCTTACTTCTTCTGTTTCAAATTGTTGCTTAATCTTTCAGCGTTTACTCTTCGATAAAACAATAATACCAAATTTGTGCGGATTTAAGATTATTTATCGTGGATTTTCAAAGTTTTTACGAAAATCGATCTATGAAAACAGAATTGAACAGAAATCTATGAAATAGGAAGACGACTTTTAGAGTCAACCTATTATTTTTGAAAGTTTAATAAGCATAAGACTAAGACACAGCAATTATGCAGTGTAGACAGACCCATTTTACTCGTATATTGCACAATATACTTGCAGACTATATATATATATATAGTAATACAGGGCAGTTTAATAGCTATGTCCGTTTAATGAAAAATAAGCAATGTTAAATTTTTAGAAGAACCAATTTTTCTTTCAAATAGGCATGTATCTTTATACAGGGTTACCCACAAAGGATGAGACTTTAAAAACGATTGTACGGAATTAAGTCCATTTTCTTAAATTCAGGGTTCCTTGTTGGCCAAAACTGTATTATTTCTGTGCTTAATCATTCCATACACCATCAACTTACAAAATTGAATGCAGAAACCAAAAATAAAGCTACAACTAGTCATATTTCTAGAGTTTTGGGTCGTCTTTACAGTCTCATACTTTGAGGGTAACCCTGTACCTTTCTTGGTTTTCTCTAATTCTCCTGTTTAGTGGTGCACACTGTAAATTATACACGTAACGTGAGCACTATTACCCTGGACCAACAAAGGCAAAAACGTTCGGTTTCTTCAAATAGATTATCAAGTACAATAGGCACCCTGGACTAACCAGAGTGAGAAGCTTTCGGTTTCATTTATTTGAAATCAAACGTGTTTTGGTCTATAATTCAACAATCTTTAAACTTCAGATTTGTTTATGTTATACTTTTTTCATTTAAAATATGCAGACAAAAAAGTATTTAAGACAACAGGATAAAATATTATGTATAACGGGTCATTTTGTGATCAAAAGTCACAGTTTTCTGAAATATTGACAGAACCGTTAAATCCACGTGTAGGTGGCAACAGAGAAATGGACCGAGTATACAAGACGTCACAAGTGTCAAATATACAAGGAAAACAAAATGTTCTCACAATAGTAGACATGTTTTCCAAGATGAATATAAAAGTGTAAAAATAGGAAACAAAAAACACATAAAATTGCACTTATTTTACTGTAGGCACTTTATTCTAAAATAAGCACTATTTTTGACAATTTTTGTTGGACACACAAACTGAATTGTCACTTGTGACGTCAGAATACAGATGTGTGAGAGTGTATAAACTCTACGTTACCATCTATTGTACTAGACTCTATTTGAGTTTCTCCAATTTAAATTCTTTATCCTATTCTAATTCAACAATCTTTAAACTTACGGAGTCATCTTTAATACTTCTTCGTTTAAAATACAGTAAAAGTAAAAAATCAAATTTTAATATTGATTTTAATATAAAAACGTGGCTTGAGTCTGGAAGAGAGAGCGGGGGGGGGTTGTTACTTCAATAATGATTAATTTCTTAATGAAATCTGATATCAATCAAGAGTCTGGACCTGATACCTTTGATTCCGGCTTAATTTTGGCATTTCAAACTTAAGTCGAATTAAATATACTCTACTTGGAAAAGATTCCGTCTCAGTGGAATAAACTCTCAATTCAAGTCTATTAATCATCAGACCTTTGATTAATCAAGGTGTGCAGAGTTGATTCAAAAGGAAAGATTTTTTATTTATTTGAAAACAAACACAATATCATAATTGGTTTTAATTTAGAACCCCAACTATGGTTATCTTACCACGTAAAGGTATTCCTAGGAGCAAGAAAGTCCAAACTGTGCATTAAAAGTGAATTTAAAAAACCGGTTATATGGTGAGATTTGCGGATTCTTTCGAAATATTTCGTTTATTGGGTTTTTTCCAGAGCATAAACTATAGGGTTTCCTTTCAAAACATTAGACAGAGAGGGGGAAACTTTAGTGTTTGGAGCATTGTTTATCTTAAAGGCTTGATCTTGATATTCAATGTGTGCATTTTTAAATCTAAGGATCAATGCTGGATCTCTCAATTAATTTAACCCTGTAGGGTGTTATAACCACTTCCTGATTTCGAAGAGTGATCAAATTAATTAATATGTACGTCTACGTAAAGTGGAGATTAATGGGTATTGTTTTGTTGCAGAGATTAAAGTTCTGACGTTAAACTATAATTTCTATATTTTTTTGTCTTCAGAATTATCAAAATGCCGAGCACCTCAGATTCGTCAAGGTAATGTTGAAAATTTCAAAAATCTAAGGGCAACATAATATGTGGGGGAACACCCCCCCCCCCCTATATTAGAGAAAATAGTACAATAGGGATAGGGTTAAAGGTATGGAGGGTCACTTATAACATTATATAGTTCTTTAACTGTGTTTTTGACACGGAGTGAACAATCGGGCGTTTTTTTCGGGACTTCCTCTATGAACTGTACTAGTAGAGGTGTATGTTTGTATACAACTCCTTGTACCAAGAGAAGTGCATGTATTATATGACGCCCTGTACTAATAGAGGTGTATGTTTTTATACATCTCCTTGTACCAACAGAAGTGCATGTATTATAAGACGCCCTGTATTAGTAGAGGTGTATGTTTTTTACATCTCCTTGTACCAAGAGAAGTGCATGTATTATAAGACGCCCTGTACTAATAGATGTTTATGTTTTTATGCATCTCCTTGTACCAACAGATGTGCATGTTTTATATGACTCCCTGTACTAATAGAGGTGTATGTTTTTATACATCTCCTTGTACCAAGAAAAGTGCATGTATTATATGACGCCCTGCAGGCTGTACCAACGATCTTGTTGTCTAGGACGAGCAGTGAAAGCTCTGATATTGATCCTGAAAGTGATTTGGAGAAAACAGAAAATAAACATATTGTCAAGAATATTCATGATCAAGATCATGATCCTTCAGCAGAAGATGAACTGATCGCTAGGTGATATTATAAAGGGATTGTCCTCATATTTATTTGGCATCTTTGTTAAAAATTATAGATTATGAACAGATTTCTAGATTTAGAACAAGGATGTTTATTTAGGGTTCAGGATATGCTAGAAAGGAGCAGGAAACCAAAAAGAGGAAAAGTGTCTAAACCCTGCAAAAAGGATAGAAGGGCTAAACTTAGAGAGGAATTGCAGAAACTGCTAGCTAGGGAGAAGGTTCAGGTGGCTGATAATGATGACAATGATGACAATGATGATAATGATGATAATGATGATAATGATGATAATGATGATAATAATGATAATGATGATAATGATGATAATGATGATAATGATGATAATGATGATAATGATGATAATGATGATAATGATGATAATGATGATAATGATGATAATGATGATAATGATGATAATGATGATAATGATGATAATGATGATAATGATGATAATGATGATAATGATGATAATGATGATAATGATGATAATGATGATAATGATGATAATGATGATAATGATGAATAACGTCTACAGATGCTGTTAAAAAGATGAATTATAACTTTCCAACATATGTTTGCTTCTGTGTAATTTAACTTTTAGCTGTTTTATTTAAACAATTTAAATCCACAACTTTTGCAAAAAAATGAATCCATTTATGAGTCATTCTATTCTATCTAATGTTTCCGTAACTTATAAAACTTTAAATTTGTCAATCCCAAAGAGCATTAGGACTATCTTTGGTCTACCCTATATATTTCCCTGGATTAGAATCCTTCCATAACTTTTCTGGTTAATGTTTGGATCAATATTACATAATCTGTTTACAGAAATATCGGATAGAAATAATTTGTATGATACTCATAATTCAATTATATTTAGTCATGAATTTCAAATATTATTCCACTTTATTATTATTATCACTGTGGTATTTATCAGAAAATGGGTCTTGTACAAACGTCAGATCTACAGACGTCGGACGGTACAATGTTCGGACAGTACAAACATCATATTACAAACGTGTCCGACGGTACAATTTCCTACGTTCGTACTAGTTGCCAGAATACTGCTCATAATGAGGCCAAACTATAAAATTAATAATATTTTTTTATCGAAAAAAAATATAATGTTCCCCTTCCTTAAACGTTTTTATATTAAAATGAACAAAAATATCGATTGACCTCGTTAAGTAAAGTTTACACTATAAGTATTTACAATAGAAAGAACACCCCCCTCTCTCTCTACAAAAGGGGTGCCTTAAGAAAGCTTATTTTTTCACTGCTGTTTACGTATCACAGGATTTTAAGATCAAATTATAAGGTCTGTTATTGTAGAGAATCCAATGTTGACTTCACACTAAAGACAATATATTAATTGATCAACCTATACCCTTCTTCAAAATTTGTTGTCACTCCCTTGAACCTCTATTTACTTATAAACTTGAAATATTGAACATTAGACTGAGGAAATGAGCTATCCAGTTGGTTCTACGTCTTCGGCCAGGGATACCAGGACAGTACTGTACATAGATCAGGTACCAGGACAGTACTGTACATAGATCAGGTGTTAGGACAGTACTGTACATAGATAAGGTACCAGAACAGTACTGTATATATATTAGGTACCAGGACAGTACTGGACATAGATCAGGTGTTAGGACAGTACTGTACATAGATCAGGTACCTGGACAGTACTGTGCGTGACATAGATCAGATACCAGGACAGTAATGTAAATAAAGAAGGCAACATACTCAACACTCAGGGCTACCAGAACAGTACTGCGCATATATTAGGCACCAGACGTATCACTTAGGGCTACTTAAACAGTACTGTACATATATCAGACCCCAAAGTTATCATTAAGGGATACTATAGCAGTACTGCACATATCTTAGGTACCAGACGTATCGCTTAGAGATACCAGAACAGACTGTACATACATTAGGTATCAGACGTAGTATTATAAAGTCCGACCTTAAGTAAAATTCTCGAAAAGATAGTATAAACTTTATAGCGTTACTATCCCCCACAAGAGAATAAGACGTGTCAGTTACAACATAAATAATATTGAATGATACCGTTTAATGTCAAATGCATCATCAATTTTATTTAAGCAAAAAATATTATGGCAAATGTGTTATTGCAACATTAGAATGATTTAAAACGGAACTATACAAACTAAAACTTTAAACCCTCATTCTTCCAGAGAAAGTAGAAAAATATGATAGATTTATTATTTTGATATGTTATGCATTTAAATAAAATATGTTCTATATACACAACAGCAAAAGTATTAATAATTAATAGTATGATTAATTTTAACGATTCAATATTTTTAAAATGCAGTTTTATTTCTAAAATGATTTCTGAACTTTTAAGACGTGAGACTAGTATAGACATAAAGAATAAGAGGAGAAAGAGGATCGGAGAACTAAATCTATAAACTATAGATTAGAGAGAAGAGAAGGTTTTATTCATCTTGTTTCCAGGGTGACACAGAGATAGTTGCTCCGGATACAGTTCATTCTTCTCCAGACACCAGGTAGGATACAGGGATAGAGTTCATTCTCCTCAAGATACCAGGTAGGATACAGGGATACAGTTCATTCTTCTCCAGATACCAGGTAGGATATACAGGGATGCAGTTCATCCTACTCCAGATACCAGGTAGAATACAGGGATACAGTTCATTCTTCTCCAGATACCAAGTAGGATACAAGGATAGAGTTCATCCTACTCCAGATACCAGGTAGGATATATAGGGATGCAGTTCATTCTTCTCCAGATACCAGGTAGGATATACAGCCTACAGGGATACAGTTCATTCTTCTCCAGATACCAGGTAGGATACAGGGATACAGTTCATTCTTCTCAAGATACCAGGTAGAATATACAGGGATGCAGTTCATCCTACTCCAGGTACCAGGTAGAATACAGGGATACAGTTCATTCTTCTACAGATACAAGGTAGGATATACAGAGATGCAGTTCATCCTACTCCAGATACCAGGTAGGATATACAGAGATGCAGTTCATTCTTCTCCGGATACCAGGTAGGATACAGGGATAGAGTTCATTCTTCTCCCGATACCAGGTAGGATACAGGGATAGAGTTCATTCTTCTCCAGATACCAGGTAGGATACAGGGATAGAGTTTATGCTTCTCTAAATACCAGGTAGGATATACAGGGATGCAGTTCATTCTTCTCCAGATACCAGGTAGGATACAGGGAAAGAGTTCATTCTTTTCCAAATACCAGGTAGGATATACAGCCTACAGGGATACAGTTAATTCTTCTCCAGATACCAGGTAGGATACAGGGATAGAGTTTATTCTTCTCCAAATACCAGGTAGGATACAGGGATACAGTTCATCTTATTCCAGATACCATGTAAGATATAGGAATACAGTTCATCCTACTCCAGATACCATGTAGGATACAAGGATACAGTTTATCCTACTCCAGATACCAGATAGAATAGGGATACAGTTGATCCTACTGCAGATACCAAGTAGGATACAAGGATACAGTTAATCCTACTCCAGTTACCAGGTCGGATACAGGGATACAGTTCATCCTATTTCAGATACCACGTAGGATATACAGGGATACAGCTCATCCTACTCCAAATACCGGGTAGGATATAGGAATATGCAGTTAATCCTACTTCATATACGAGGTAGGATATCTAGAGATACAGTTCATCCTACTCCAGACACCAGGTAGGATGCAGGGATACATTTAATCCTACGTGTTTACAGTATTAAGATATCATTGTTTGCTTTCCAAAGGAACTTATTAAGCCAATAAAGAAGGAATCAGTTCTTCAATAAAGTTTAATTTTAATTTTGACTTCACTATATTTCTTATCAATGAATAGTATGCTAGATAAGGAAATATTATTGACAGTTCCGTTGTAGCTGGGATTTTAAACATTGCCTCTGTTAACCTAGTATACAGACATTTGTATCAGATGTGTAGAATTATATTATTTATCAGATTCATTCGGGTACTGACATTTTGTATCAAATTTTAACAGTGTAGAGATAAAATTTATCAGATTTATTATATGCTGCAGACATCTTGACATTTCTATAGTTATACAAATATGTTTAGTCCGTTTTATAGGTTTTAGACATTTTTGTCAAAGTAATATAGTACAGAGACATCTATATATTAATTTGGCTTGTCTGTCTGTTTGTTTGTATCCAATTATTATTTTTGTTTTGTTTTACGATGTACACAAAGAGAACATGTTCACAATTAATTTAGAAGATGGGCGCGAAGCGCCCTCTAAGGCTAGTATTATTAGAATAGTGTACAGACATTTTTCATTAGGTTTACAAAATGTCTTGACATTTTTTGATCATTTAAAAAGTAAAGACAATTTTTTGGGTAATTTTTTTTATCGGATTACATATTTACAAAAGTGTAAACTTTATTTCCTTGAGTTTCTTCGAACTACGGGGTATTTTTAGGCAGCTGTACACTGTACTGTATCATGAATAGACTATACAGACGGCAATTTGGAAATGTACAGTTTAACCCAGCGAATGCTTTCCTTTTAATGAGATTAATGTGCTATATCACGTGATTGATTTAAGCAGATGTTGCATTCATCTTTTATATCTGGAAGTAGAGTAGGATAGATAATTATGCAAGTAATTAAAACTATTTAAAATATGTTCAGTTTTATAGAAGAATGGATAGCGTATGGAAATACGTATAAAAATGCAATTTTACAGGTAAATGTATTGAGAGCAGACCGATGAGTCATATAATATATCACTTTCAACCTTGAATTCTCTATTTAAACAAAATTTTATTGTTCTTTCTTCTTAATACTTTTTTACAAGGTGTTATAAATGTACTATTTATGACCTTGTGCAGATGAATATATTTATTTTAACTGATTGTGTGTTTATATAAATATAATAAAGCTCTTCGCTCATATATATATATATATATATATATTAATNAAATTTTTTGCATGGAGGCCTGATTTGGATCTAGTTTTTGCATGGAGGCCTGATTTGGATCTAGTTTTTGCATGGAGGCCTGATTTGGATCTAGTTTTTGCATGGAGGCCTGATTTGGATCTAGTTTTTGCATGGAGGCCTGATTTGGATCTAGTTTTTGCATGGAGGCCTGATTTGGATCTAGTTTTTGCATGGAGGCCTGATTTGGATCTAGTTTTTGCATGGAGGCCTGATTTGGATCTAGTTTTTGCATGGAGGCCTGATTTGGATCTAGTTTTTGCATGGAGGCCTGATTTGGATCTAGTTTTTGAATCTAAAACCAAATTGGAAGGAGAAAATGTAATCCTTTTTATTTTTTCCCGCCTTTAAAAAGAATGTTTTATACTTTACCGCTTATTTATTTTATTTTTATTTGTTATAAACTGAATTATTTAATCAAATTTGTTGCAATTAACTCTTATTATGGTCTAAATCTCACATAATTTTTGAAAAATCAAACAATCAAGATTGTATAGATATAAAACGTTGTCAGATTTGTTAATTTCATTGTAAATTTTATTATAGATGCGCCATAAAGTATACATCATGCTATAATGTTTAATAAGTTGTATACCACACTGTACTGTAAAGTGTAATCCGTAACTGAATTGTCAAAAAATATATATTTTTTTGATTTATATAAAATAAAATTGAAATTAACTTAACTAACTTTTATTTTTAAATGTCTAGAAATAATCATCGCATCAAGTCCAGTACACAAACATTAATAAGATTACATATAACAGTATCATTTTGTGACGACGCTCCATGTTATCAAGTTGTTTAACTTTAATTTTCTCTTTATAGAGAAGATTTTTAGATTTGTCCCGAGCTTGTCCACAAACTGCATTGCGAACCAAAATCATTGTTTTATAAAAAGTTTTAATAAAACTCAATCAAAACTCTGGAAAAGGAAACTTTATTAAATCCAATTTCAAGATTAAAATGGGAGTGTTCACTAAAATCGTAAATTGCAGGTATGAGAATAGGTTTGTGGGACAGGATCGAGGCTCTGGAAAGGAAAACCTCTTTACATCATCATCATACCAACGACACCATGACAAGGAAACTTTCTTTTAATGCGTTTTCACATTTTTTTACTAAATTATTTACAAAAATATCTTTTTTTTTCCAGCACAGATGTTAATTTTGGAAATTTTTAAATGCGAAAATAGTGAAAGAACCAGAGTAAAAAATGTCTTCAGATTTCAGAATTTGAGTGTTATAAATCTTGGGACAAGCACTGATCTCCATCTAATGCAGACGGATTAATCAAATTCCTCTTCGATACCTCGTGATACCCTGCAAGAGGGATCAAGGATTCATCTTATTTGAAAGTACTCACATTGGATATCGAGATCAAGCGTTTAAGACTATCAATTCTTCACTAAAATTTCCGACCGATCTGTTGAGATGTAAACAAAGAAAAATTTTACATACTTAGCTTTAAGAAGAAAAGTAGCAAAACCAAATATTTTAAATATAGAATATTTTTCTGAAAACAATATACTTTATTCGCTTCCGTGCAGAAATCAATATTTGCCTTAAAAGGAAAGTTTTAAGGACTTCCGTTCCCAAGGGGGATCAGCTCTTCGCTCGGATAAAGATCGTCGATATGATCGTCAAGATGATCGGCAACAAGATCGTCAACAGGATCATCAGCATGAACGACCACTTGGCTTTGGAGATCTTTGTAGATTTTTCCAGAAGGAGCTTAAACTTGATTTTGATGATAACACTGCTAATAAGGTTAACTAAATGTTTTTATTTGAATTGAAGTAAAAAATTTCAACACAAAGGAAATCTTAAAAAAAACATAGGGGGCATACCGTACCCCACCCCCCCCATCCCAAGAAAGAAAAGGTATATGCTTTAAAATAAGGAGGTGGAAGGAGGTACTTTATTTATCTACGTCTATATATAATAAAGCACTTTGCTCATATATATATATATATATATATAGCTGGTCAAACAACTGGACCAAATTGGCTAAAATTATTTAAGGGAATCCGTGGGTTACAGTGGCTACAAAAAGTTTTTAAAAAAAATTCTTAAAAATTCGATTTTTTTAACTTCGGTAATTTTTTGTTCAAGTTTTTTTTTAATTCCACGGGCAATGCCTATACTATATATGTAGTAAGTTTAATTCTACAATTATCTATGTATGTAGTGTGCTACAACGATGATTGACTGCTGGAAGAAGAACAAGTATCTCTACTCGGACCTAGAGGAGATGTATCTCGTGAACATGAGGGACACCCACGACAGGGAGCTCTTGGCCAGGGAGCTGGGGAAGACAATCGGAGACAATAGGTACAGGGGAACCAGAAAAAAATGGAATTTTCGTCATCTTGTTTTCTTTAATTATGAAGTAATGCTAAAAGTTTTGTATTTTGCAACTAAACTATTTTGAAATATAAATCTATCTGAGCTGAAAACTTTAGAATGAAAAATTCTTAATCCCAATTATTTAATCTGAGTATCCAATGGACACACTTTTAACTTAAGTTTTTAGCTCAGTTGTAACAAATTGTAAATTGCAAAATCTTTAGTGCTGTTTCTTTATTATTAAAAGATAAAACAAGGTCGAAAGTTTATTTTTTTTATTGCATTGCTTTAACCCGTTTTTCTGCCTTTTTTATACTTTTTAGAATATTTCAAAAATTTTGAAAAAACAGTAAAATTTTGCGTGAAGTGTATGGAGAGAACGGTGTAATAAATAATCAAAAAATCTTATCAGCATTGAAAAGGGAAAAAATAACCTATTTACATGTCATTTTAGGACCAAAAATCATTCATTTTTAGCTTTAGTTATGAAGACGTAATTGGAAAAATTCTCATAAGTTTTTGAGTAAAAGCTTTTTTTGATTATTTAGGGATGGATTTCCTCAAGGTGTTTCATGCCCTCGTCTGGTAAACCTGACAATTAAATTCTTCAACACTGAACCTAGGGTAGTTGACAAGCTTAGGAGGATTCAGGAGCAGGAACACAAGGTGCTCAATCTTTGATGGAATCTAGTAAAAATTTAAAACTTAAATAGAGATATACTTCTGAAGCTTTGATACAGAGAGAACTGGAAAATTGTAGAATGTGAAGACGACAAAGAAATGATTTAGTGTATTTGATTTGATTTTAGTGTATTAAAAAGCAAATAGTTTAACTAATAACTAATTAAATCACTTATTTAGTCCAGCAGGTCTATGTACACTGCACAATTGCTGTGTCTCGTTAACATTGGACTATGTAAAGTCATAACTTGAGTCTAAAATGTGTATTCATGTTTGTTGCTTCATAGTGTAGAATTTTGTTTTAGACATTTTGATAGACAAAAAACAATATTACTTTTTTTCCAATTTACTTAATATTTATTTATGTTTAAGATTGAAAGTGGAAGTATGAATGCCAATGAAGAAATAAGGTGATATAAATATTAATTATGGTGATATAACAATATAATATTTAATTTGATCCTAATTTATTTATGTACATACTTTTTTCAAAATATTTAAAACTATATATGATAATTTGTTCTAGGATTAGGATACATATATAACACACACATGTGACAAGTAAAAGCATTAATTTTGGAACTCAAACTGGAGACAAATTTGACCGGGATTATTTGTATTGTCTCCTGCTTTTAAATGGTTATTTTAGAAATTTAATAAAATACAGTGAGACGACTGAGACCCATAAAACTATGGTATAAGCAAACGACATGTAAACAAGTTTTTAAAATCAACTTCTAAAGTTAAAAGGGTCTGTGCACATTACACAATTGCTGTATTTCTTGTTTCTCAGACAGTTCTAAATTTGAAAGATCAAAAACTTCAGTTTAACACTCGTCTTTAATGGGTCTCTCTGTAGGAATTAACAAATGAGTTTGATGTAAAAATCACCAACACAATGTTTATTAAATGTTTATTAAATGTTTATTATCAGGATTCGGAAGAACAGCAAGTATGCTGGATTACGTCCTGTCACCTCCTGTTTGGATTCTATCCTTGAAAGAGCTGGACTTAATAAAACCAGGAATATATATTCTTCACATTTTAAATCAAACAAACTTCTAATATTCTGTGCTAAAAGGGACTGTAAGCGATATTTCAAAAGACCATCCATTTAATGAGGCGCATGCCTGATTCACAACAGAAAACACAATTTAAAATAATCCTTTTTTAAAGGCCCAGTTAAACACGATCATGTTAATATACCTCTACACTCTTCAGTACCTTATAGGATAATAAAGCCTTTTATATATAAGAGAATAATAAAACTTTACCGGTCAATTTCATTTCAAAATCCATGCTTTTAAAAGAAATAAGGAGACTCCAAGCATTTCACTGCTTTCTGGTGACCACAGTACTTAGACCTGATGGTTGAGAATATATGGGGATCAGGTGTATGGTTGTATCTGGAGATATCACGGAGAGGTTTGTTACTGCTGGATACGGTTGGGATAGAGTGCTCCAGTATCATTCTAAGGTAGGAGAGAACTACAATGCTGCAAACTCGAGATGTAGGAGAGAACACTAAGAATTTTGTGGGTTAATTATTAACTAATAAACTATATTTATCATACATAGACATCGCTCGGCTAACAATTTGCATAATTCTTAAATAGTCAGTGGACCTGCAAATTTTCTACAAAGCACTTTTAAATATACAAATAAATTTAAGACAACTTTATATAAGTTATTTAAACATTTAATTCACAAAGACGAACTTTTTTTAATTCTTAACAAATTACTTTCCATACTTACAAAAATTCTATATTATCTTTAAAATTATAATAATTCCAAATCAAAAACTTATTTTCATTATTTAAAAACTTCTTTACAAAAGATAATTACCATTTAGTACTTTTTGTATACAAAGTGTATTCTAAGGATCTTGAATTGAACCCCATGTTATATTTATTTTGTTGGATGGAGATGTTGTTTTTGTACTTTATAAAATGTAAGTATTTTTTTTTCTTTCTCAACTTTTTCAATTTCAAGAATATTGTTTTCTATTTTATTTTTGCGTTTCAGAGAAATATTTACAGGTTTTAATTTACGCAGGTAGTTCTTCAATTATCCATTGTTCACTTAACCCTATTCCTACTGAGGGGGGTTACAAGTTACAACTCACAGTGACCTCACAGTGCCCCCACTGTCGTTTTCTTTGCGATAATTCAAAAAGTATTGGTCTGACTCTGAGGCTGTTCGAATATTTTTCCCCCCCCACGCTTCTATTTAGGGTAAACCAGACGTACGTCGAATAGGGTTAAACAATTGTTGATGAAATTATAGAAATGATCTGTCCTACTCACTTTTCTATTCAATGTTTCCGAAAAGAGTATTTATTTAATGTATTCATTTTAAATAATGGATATCATTTAACTCCTTTCCATTCTAGTTATTATTATTGTGTTTATGGATATTAATAAGATTATTTTTGATATTGCAAAATTACAAATCCTGGATCTCAAAACATGAAAATCCAGGAGTACATCTAAGTAGTTTTTCAACAAATGACGGAGGAATAATAAATGTAATGCACCAATTGTTAACTCCCTGAATAATGTTTTTTTAAAAATCTTTTGGAAAATCTAGAAAATGATTCTGAATTAATTTTCCTAATTACTATTTTATGTTTAGGGCCAGGATAAGTTTAAGAAGAAATTGATTCCCTTCGTTTATATGTCCAAAGACGATTTCCCGATTGGTATGGACACAGAAGGTGTACTCAACCAACTCTATGGTTTTATTAACACGTGGAAACTAAAACTATTTGACGCGCTCACTTCTGGGAAACTTCCTGATGAGGTTTGTGTTAACCATGGACTGCTACATAAGTTGCATAATCCGAAACGGTACACCATGGTAATGCTCTGCACTGTATTTCCGAGTCCGAAATGTTAAATGCCTCGGAAGGATTTCTGAAGGATTTATCTTTCCTATTATAGGGGAGGAAAATTACTTCAGGAACAGACTTTTTTCCTTATAAAGAAATGATAAATGCAGTTTAAAAGCAGAGTAAACACGTAAATACAGTTGAATATGCATTCAGTCGTAAACTGCCTAGTCGGACTACCTGGAACAGAGCCGTTTTATGCAACTAATGTGCCTGGCAAGATTACAGTGCTACTATACATGTCTGCAAATCTTCCCATTTAGAAATTGAAATTTTTACTAATTCAAAATTCAATGTTAATGCTTTCAATATGTAATTTAATGAGATTCGTACATTCAGAAAATATTGGTTTCGTTCATTAACAAATCAAACAAACAAATTAGTTCTATAGAGTTGAAAAGGGTGCAAAAAAATTACTAAACAGTTGAATTATTAAGTCAGTTAACAAAAGTTGCAAAAATCAATTAATCTAAAGTTCCTTATGGTTCAGATTACTAATAAAGTGTGTTTGCCAGGAAATGCCCCCTGCTGATCTGAGAAGTGCATTGGAGCTTGATACAAAGAGACCACCCTCAAACCACACGTCTTCAAGCCGCTCCAAACCTGTTTTTACAAGCCATGATGATGATGTTTCCCTACCTAAAGACTACTTGAAGAAATCAAGTTCCAAATCCATCTGTGAGCTTGAACGTATCCGACCTCGACCCGGCTTTGATGAGGATCATGAACCATATCGGCTCCGTAAGAATGTTGCATTAGATGAACCTGGATATGTATCAGGGTATAGCGAAGATGATTATCCGTCCCGTCTCTCCAGAATTGACTATGATAGAAAAAAGACCGTCAAAGAGCATTTGAACAAAGGATATCCCGGCAAAGATTGGAGAAAGGAAGAACAGTCAGGTAAAGAGATGTATTCCAGTTATGATGAAGATATAAGAGACTTTGACTCCCGAGACAACAGAAAACAGTTGAGAGATATTGATGCTAGGACGGAGAAGGTTCCATGCACACATTTCGCTGCTAGGGAGGTCAAGGAGAAGGACGGATATGTTTCTGTTGAGGATTCTGACGGTAAAACAACTTTTTATCACTATACAGAACCAGGGGCTCGGTCATTAAGCCATGATAGGAAATCATCGCCCAGAGGATCATCAGTAGATTCTTTAGGTTTAATTGATAGAAAAAGAAAACTGTCTGAACATGATTTTGATCTAGAAAAACAGGAATCATTTGAGAGACCAGTGTCATCAAAGAAAAAAATGAAATCTACTGAAGGTGCTCCCGTTGAGCCACCTAAGGAGAAAGCTTCAAAAAGAAAAAAGAAAGAGAAGGAGAAGGAAAAAGAAAAGAAGAAGAAACCATCTGTCTTGGAACAAGTTAGTGAAATTCTAAAATCCTGCAGTGGTCTTCAGCTGACAACTCCAAAATCAATAAAGGTTTCCGATCCCAAACCTGGAAAAAAAGAGGCAAAGGAGCATGTGAAAGAAGCTGCTGTGTGGAAACCAGATATAAAACATGAAATCAAGCTGAATAAGGAATTGTATGATGACAACGACGATGATGAAGAAAATGATGATGATGTAAAGATTGAGAAATCTCTTGAAGACGGAGAGATTCACGGCACTGATGCAGAAGATACTGTTAATGAGATTGATGATGGTGTATTTGAAGAACCAGACAAGAATGAAAATAAACGAAAGGTATTTTCTGTAAATCATTAATTCTGATCAGAAATATGAACTTTTTATTTAGGTTGTTATGGTAGACAAGGTTATTGAAGACAAGGATGATGATGATTTATTAAGTAAAATACCCCGGGGGTACAGGATTAGGTCTCTAACTAGATCCAAGTCTAAATCTAAAACTCCGAAATCTATTTCTAAATCACCAGCACTAAAACTGCGAAAGCTATCACGGTCTAGAACTGCATCACCCCTGGCTAACATCAGGCCCAAATCAAGATCAAAATCAAGATCAAGATCAAAATCAAGATTTAGATCAAGATCAAGAACAAGATCATGGTCTAGAAACAGATCAAGGTCTGTTACTCCACGAAGCCGGCGTAGTACCCGATCCCGGAGTCCTAAAGTTAAACGGTATCCATACAAGCCAAGCTATAGAGGGGAATATAAGTCAAACTACAACCGACATTCTAGGTCTAGGTCTAGATCTCCTCCTCGACACCCAACCTGGATACCCGTCAGTCCTTGTGCTGTCACGGAAAGTATAGAACTTGAACCCTTGAGCACAATGCTGGTTAAGATCTCTGCCAAGGAAGAGTTCAGATATAGAGAAAATGAGGGATGCATGGTCCGTGTTACAAAATGGACTGGGAGAGACTCAATCCCTGGGATTCAAATTCGACCCCAGATAGTCACTCTTGATGACGAATCATCAATGGAGATTGAGATTAGAAACCCATTCGCCGATAAAGCCTTATTTTTACAGAGGCAGGATAAAGTTGCGTGTCTCTCCGTTCTCTCCGGACCAGCTAAGCCTGGCTTCTTTAATAGGGACGTTTCTCCGGAGTCATTTGAAACCCGGGATAAACGCTGGTTCCGTGTATCATCTGTAGTTCTACACCGTAAAGGTACAGATCATCAATCCTGTATCAAGATGTGTTTTCTTTTATTATATGTTGCTTATTATTTGAAAATTATCAACATGTTCAGGTAAGATTTCATCACTTAACATTTTTACAAAAAAAAGTTTTTTGCAAGTTTCAATTTTAAAGTCTGACCATTTATAGGTGAATTTTTAACACTTTTAGTCTTCCTTTTCTGTACTTCTATCTGTATGTTTTAAATGTGCATGCATTCTTTAAGGAACTATTTACATAATATAACTGACCCTTCGTGTAAATTTGTTTATCAACGAAAAGAAAGTTGATTGGATATATTTGAATAAAAAATTTGGATATGTTTGGATAAAATGCAACCTTGGCTTTTTATAAAAGGTGACACGTAAAACCTTTAGAAATTTAGAGTGGAAATACGTCTTTGACGCAAACTCTGATTTTCTAATCCAAATTTCCTTGCCACTAAATGTTGCAGGCCTTGGATATTTCCAACTATGAACTCTGTAAGATCAAATAGTCTAAAAGTTTAAAATATCAAAGGTTTACACTTGCACAAGATTGCTAAATATAGGAGTTAGAACATCCGAGTTTGTGACAAAGATAATTCCTTTGTTTAAATGTTGGTTTATTGAAAATAGCTTGCACAGTCCCCTTTTTGTGAAATTGGGTAAACTTTCATTTAAACCCATGTTATGTTCAAGAGGAGAACATTAAAAATAGAAATTGAAAATAGTGTTATCTCAAACTCTTAATCGCAATGTAAGAAAATAGGAAACAAATTTTTTGGCAAAATCAAACTTTTTCAAAGTTATTGAGTCTTTGCCACAAACTCAAATTTTCTAATCCCTATTTCTTTGCGACCTATTGATGTAAACCTTTGATATTAAATTATTTAATCTAAATTATTTAATCTATCAGAATTCATAGTCTGAAACATCTATCGTCTACAACATTAGGTAACAAATATATATGGATTAGAAAACCAGAGTTTGTGGCAAAGACTTGATTAATTTTTGCTCAAATGGTTTTTAAATAACTGAACAATTCATTAAAAACTCTAATCTTCATATCCCTCTATCTTTGCAAGATAATGCTTTTAAATTTCAAATTTTCTTGTTACCAAAGCACAAAATCGACTTTTTCTCCGTTTCTATAAAACTTAATAGAAACATGGTTTTCATTGACCTTTAAGTCAATATGTAATGTATTTACCACCGAATTTAATGAATTTGAGCTGCGTCGCGTTGCTAAACTACTGCCGATTCCAATTTGAACAAATTTACAGATTCAAAGTTAAAAATTAAGGAAGAATTTGAATCGGTAATTCAAATTTGAACCGGTAAAAGGCAGTTCCAATTTATTTGTTTAGGAACACTTGATCGTATAACAATACATCCTGGCAGATCTATGAAGGTTATTGCAACTATAACAGGACCTATAAAGAAATATGCAGGTACGAAATTTACATTTTATTTGAAATTTATTTAAAGGAATTGAGTCCTTGGAACAATATCAAATATTTAAACCTCAATATCTTTAGAACTCGATGTTGTAAACCTTTGATATTTTAAACTCAGATTATTTGATCTTACAGAATTCATAGTTTGAAATATCTGAGGTCTGCAAAATTTGGTTCCAAAGATATAGGGATTAGAAAATCAGTGTTTGTGACAAAGACCCAATTCCTTTCTTTACAAATATTTCTAAAAAACGCAGAAACTGCTGAACCAAATTGCCCTGTAGGATAAGTTCTGGTTCGCGTCTGTCAAAACTTTTAAAAATATGGCTCACTAGACCTGCAAAAGGTTTGATTATAGGTAAACTCCTTGCAGGCTACTGTTGAATCTAACAAAATTATGTTTGTTCACCAATGAATGCACTAAATCATTTTTAGGTGTAATAGGCTGAAATGAGTAAATATTTTTAATAAACATGATTAAATTCACCTTTTTTGGAAGTTTGAGGAATAGGTTTTGAGGTTTATATATTTTTGTAGGTAAAGAGATCTTGATTTCAAGATTGGATTCAAACTCCGAGTTTCCAGTACACTCCCAGGTACCGGGGCCTTCTAATAATTATGTTAAACATGGTATATAATCAAAACATCGAACTTAAAGTGGAAGTAAGTGTAGCTTCAAATGATGGCAATGTCTGATTCACAACGGTGGAAAATTTTGTAGTTTATTTAATTACCATGAATGTTTTCCTGCAGTAGAAAAGCGCAAGTCAATAAGGCAGAAAACCCACAATAGAAAATAATTAGTTTTAAAAGTGATACAAATCAATATCCAATTAATGCTTGATTACACAAAGCTTTTAAGGGACCCAATGTAAATTGGACATGACCATTGATAGAGAATAACTTGAAATTACGTTAGTTGCCGTACAGTCCCTTTAAAACATATGAAATACTAATTCTAGGAGTATCAAAATGTAGTTTGTCCTCATCCATCCTTTCTTGCTCGGAGGGGAGCGAAAAGTCTTTTTTTACTCTCAAAATTTTACAGCTACAGTTGATTTTGCATCTTCTTCCTCCCTTAGATATAAATATATAAATCAAAAGTGATTTTTAAATACAATAAAAAATTTAAATACATAGTAAATTTCCTCTGCTTTATGGTTTTAGAACCATTATTGCATTTATTATCTATTTTGCAGAGGTATATTGAGTATTGACAGAAATAATTTAAAGAAGAAGAAACTACATGAAAAGCATATTTGTTTCTCCAGGTTACTCGTATATGTGAGAATGAAAATGTTGGGTTTGAAGTCAAAAATCGTGGAAACTCAGTCATGAAGATTTTCAAGGTAAACCTAATTAAAAATTTATTTTTATTTTCTTTGATCTATATTCTAAAAAACGTTTTATCTTAGCATCTTGATATAGGGGAGTGTGATACATGTCCCTAGTCCAACTTTTCAAAACCTGTTCATCAGAAAAAAAAGATTAATGGTTAGGGTGCAGGGGAGGATTAAAAAAAAGTTCAAATAATTTTTTTTTACTTTTTACAAATATTAACATGTGACACATGCTTTAACATCCATTTTTCAAGGTTTTTTTTTTATTGATTAATAAAAAAATTTTATTCAGCATTTCTGATTATTTTGAAACACCGACCCACCGTTTGACCATCCTTCACCCTACCCTACCCTATGCATTAAAAAATCGTGATTGGGTTAAGAGAGTCAATCAAATTATATTAATAACCATAGCGAAAGTTAATAAATGCAGTATCCAGCCAATAGGAAAGGAAAAGTGAAAAGAACGAACTTTTTCTTATCGTTAAACTCGTAATCCAAAAACGCCGTGTTTAACTGATATCGAAATAGTATGAAAATAATCCGCAAATATATTGGGATCAATGCTTGATCCCATGGATTCAAAAGTTTTGACTTGATTACATATTCGTTTTTTAATCCTTTATCTCGATTGGGCTATTCTTATCCAATATAGATCTCATTAAAACAAATTTTTAGTTTAAGCCGTTTTTAAGTTAAGGAGAAAAAATCACAATGGAGGGGGGGGGCATAATCATGGATAGGATTAACTCTGTTACAAACGAGTCGATCACAATTATAGGGTTAATTCTAACAAGCAGCAGTTTAAAAGCAATTTATACATAAAATAAAAAATGTCATTTAGGTCCTCTTTCATCCAATGTTTGTGATAACAAATCCCTGTCATGTCTTTTTTTATCAAACTATAAGAAATTGGAGAAAGAAAAGAAAAGAATCCAATTTAATAAATTTGTTGCTTCTGCACCATTTTCTCTTTTAAAAATGGTCCTGCAGTAAATATTTTATCCGTCTGATTCAGAAATACCCAAAAAGAATGAGACTTTACCAGTTTGTCTGAACTTGTAAAAAGCATGATATAGAAGAATGTTCATAGTTGCATTTTTGTACTACTGTGGGTTTTCCATAGTGCGTCCAATCTTTTACATTTCAATGCGTATCTTTTTTCAAAAATATTATTAAAACATTTTTGAATAAATTTAAGTAAATCTGATATTTTGCGGATAACCCTGTACATGTTTTGAAGCGGGAGAAAAACAAGTTTAGACAATTCTTGAAAACATTCTTAGCTCTAACATACTTGATAATCTATTTGGCTCTAGCAATATACATAGGTCTTAATCCTCTCCGTCCGGGAAAACCACATTACGAGTCTAGGGCTTGGTACGTTCAAAGTGTTGTTCAATTTCGTTAACGGTTAATTAAAATATATCTAATTGTTACCAACTTTTCAGATATCCGTTCTTTCTTAGGCTAAACATTTTGCGATCCGTTCATTAACAGTAGTTGCGTTATTTTTCACAGTTACCGTTCGTTAACGATCTTAATTCTATTTACAACTTTAATGGACGCTGTTTTATTAATCGATAACAACGCTTGCCGTTAACGATAAGTAAAAAATATGACATTTAAAAACACGTAAAAACATGTTTAACAATTTTTTTTCATGGTTAGTTTCATGCAATTTTTTAAACACATATATTTTTTTCATAGAACGGTTTTAAACAAACAACTTTTGCCGTTGGTTAACGGAATCTTTCGCTATGATTTTCGAAAACTTAGGCCGTTCATTAACGGAACATGTTAGTCCAAAGGAAGACGACTGTTCTGACTTTTAATAGTCTGTCAATCCAATAAACATTTAACTGAACATCTGATACGCTTATCCTTTGGTTTTACTTACATTACTCATTTAATTATTTTAAAAGTACAATTCGTGCTTGTTTTTAGCTTTTGTTTAAAATGTTTAGAATTAATTAAGAAAATACTGATATATTTTTGCGTTAGAGCAATTTACAGTATACACTTGGGATTAGTGTAAAAGTTTATTTTTAAGTCACTGCACTGGCAAAATGTTTTTCATAACAAAATAAAAAAATAAAATCGCTGAAAATTGTCTATCTTTTCCCCAGTTTAATGGCCTATGTTTATTTTATGATTAATCACGTTTTTTCTGTACTAGGCTTTATAAAGAATTTAGAAAATGAATTCTTAAAAGATGAAAATTGAATATTTCCAATGAACAAGAAGCATGAAACCACCAGTAATGATTCATCTTTAGCTAGAAATGGTAAAATATGTCATGATTGGAAAAAAAATTACTCTATTATAAACTAATAATCATGAACTGGATGTTTTATATACAATATTTACAATATACAACATAAAAACTGTTGGTCGATTTTACTGATTAAACATTAAAAAAATAGTCAATATTGCTCGTTTGATTCAATTCTTATCAATCAACTAAGAAAATCCTCTAACTAAATCTTGAATCAGCTGTTTTTTAATATAATAACAGCATTTGGATCAGCTGTTTTTTGATAATTATAGCTATCTTGGATCAGCAGTTTTTTAATAATATCAGCATCTTGGATCAGCAGTTTTCTAATAATAACAGCATTTTAAATCAGCTGTTTCCTAATAAATTCAACATCTTGAATCAGCTGTTTTCTAATATTAATAGCCATTTTGGATTAGCTATTATCTAATAATAACAGCATCTTGAATCAGCTGTTTTCCAATATCAATAGCCATCTTGGATCAGCTATTTTCTAATAATAACAGAATATTTGATCAGCAGTTTTCTAATGATAACAGCATCTTGAATCAGCTGTTATCTAATAATAACAGCAAATTGGATCAGCTGTTATCATAATAATAATCTAATAATAATAAATCTAATAATAATCTTGAATCACACATCTTTCTAATGATCATTACATAAATATTATCAGTTATTCTAAGTAATAAGTCGAAATTAAAGTATCTTGAAAAAAATAATAACTTTTAATAAATTTTAGAACTTTTACTTTCTAGTCAACAGACATGTTTGTGTTCGATAGGTGTGAAATTTCATAATCAACTGTGATGAAATATTTTTAAGATTTAACTAAAGAGTGACATTTGTTCTTATATGAATTGTTACATCACAGTCTTTTTTAAAGCCAATTTTAAATAACATGCTTGAACTGTCAAACTCTACTTTATTAGTTTCTTTTTTATAATCTTTGGAAAGAAAGAGAATTATTAAAATAACTAGAAACAGAATTAGACAATTTATTTAAAAATTTAATAAAAATAAATATGTTTAGATAATTGATTCTTAATGTAATACTGTATTTGGCTCTGTTGTTTCCACTTTTCTTCACGTTTTAAAATTAAGGTTTCTACATGCACACAAAATATGAATTAAAATAACGATAATTGATTTTAAGTTAATTATCCATGGTAACCTAAATCGTGATCTCAAATAGTGCATTTTTGCACATTTCATGTAAACCTGTGATATCATAAATATAATTTGTGATGTTTCATCATTTTTTCCAAGTGTTCTTTTTTATTAAATATATGTTTTCATAACGAAAATTTCTTTGTGCTTTTAAAAAACTTAAAGAGAAGAGGTAATTTTAATCGGCCCCTTATTTAAAAAGTAACAATGAGGAAGATATTGTTGTTTTTCTATCTTAAAAGTTTTAAATACACATTTAATACCCATCATAATATCTGCAACATAAATCTATTATTTACTTATAGAGAAGCCACAATTCTGAATAATCAATTTGCAGTAAAATAAAGGTAGAATTTCTCATTCATCTTTGATATCTCATATATTCTGTGATACTTTCTTTACAAATTAGGTAGAGCTAGATGGATATAATTAATTCTGTATTTATGCATTACTTTATGATTCTGTCATAAACTGAAGTAAATGGAACGTTAGATGGAAATCTTATTTTTTTTAAATAATTACTCCTATTTGTGTAATGTTTTAAATTTTTAATATGTAAACAATAAAGGAATTGAGTCTTTGCCACAAACTCTAATTTTCGAATCCCTATAGCTGTGTAACCATGACGTAGTAGACCTTAGATATTTCAAACTACAAATTTTGTTAGATAAAATAATCCAGGATGGAAATTTCAGATATATAGGCCTTCAGGTTGCAAAGATAATACGATTAGCAAATTTGAATTTGTGGCAAAGACCCAATTCCTTTGTTCTTCTCATACTGTTCCCTAATATGAAGATTATAGGAGTAGAAAACATACAATGCTTCGCTCTCACGAGAGTAATGTGTGTCTCATGTTCAAAAGCAGGCTGTTTGATTGGTACGTTTTTAATCGTATCAATTTCTATTCCACTTTTACATATACACTTTCGGCTGTAGATCTACAATCTCTAAATTGTTTATCTAAATTTTCTTTTACATTTTTAAACTGGTTTTGCATCTACACCTTCAGTTGTATGTACAGTTCCAGTTCCAGTTTTACATCTACAGTTCCGGTTATACATCTACAGTTCCTATTTTACATCTGCAGTTCCAGTTTTACGTCTGTAGTTTCACATCCACAGTTACAGTTTTACATCTATAGTTCCTGTTTTACATCTACAGTTCCACTTTTACATCTACAGTTCCTGTTTTACATCTGCAGTTCCTGTTCTACATCTACAGTTTCAGTTTTACATGTATAGTTCCAGTTTTACATCCACAGTTCCTGTTTTTCATCTGCAGTTCTTGTTCTACATCTACAGTTCCAGTTTTACATCTACAGTTTCACTTTTACATCTACAGTTCCTGCTTTACATCTGCCGTTCCTGTTCTACATATATAGTTCCAGTTTTACATCCACAGTTCTTGTTCTACATCTACAGTTCCAGTTTTACATCTACAATTCCTGTTTTACATCTGCAGTTCTTGTTCTACATCTACAGTTCCTGTTTTACATCTACAGTTCCAGTTTTACATCTACAATTCCTGTTCTACATCTACAAATTCTGTTCTACATCTACAGTTTCTGTTCTAAATCTACAGTTCCTGTTTTACATCTACAGCACGCTTCTGGTCATACATGTACACCACTGTATACTTTACAAAAGCAAACGGTCAAACTATTATGTGAGTATATTGGTCTGACTTTGTGGCCTTGTAGCTCCTCCAGCTTTGATTTTAGGCACACACGTGAGCAAATTCAATTTATCAAAAATTCATAACATTTTCTTCTTTTCAATAGCTTTTCAAAAAAATGAGTTTGTTAAACTTGTTTTAGAACAATCTGGGAAATAAATAGAAAATAAATATAAAGTAAATCTTCAAAGTAATGAAACTTCCAACTCTAATTTAGATTTTCACTCTTTCAAATGTATATCTCTCTCTATATCAATATGTTCCTAGTTCAGGGTAACTGTTTGTAAGTATATATACATATAACAACAATTGATTTAACGTAAAACCAACAAATTAACATGTGCAAATGAGTTTACTAATATATTTATAAGCTCAGATACATAAATGCAGGATAAACTATTACCCTAGTAACCTGTTTACGTAAATTTATCTGAGTTTACGTAAGACGGTTACATAGGGAGGCAATAATGATAAAGATCACACAGATTCTATTTTGATATGCACATTAATATCAGGGTGGTCGTCTATTAAGGATGCTGGGAGCACTTTATTGCTAGTTCATATACGTATCAGTAAGGTTGGTAATTTTTCTCTTCATTTTTTAAACCTTAAATATTTTTGCATTTCAAGCTGAGTCATAAAATTCTGAAGAATAATGTCCTAGAAGTTTTTTTTCCACTTTTCAAAATGTTTACTAATAAAGATGGTATGTTTATAGGCCTAAATAATTTTCTCAATTGTTTGTAAAGGGATTCTAACTCCGTAAGTTCAAATAACCCTCTGTGCAAAAAGGGCAATGCCTGATTTACAGGGGTACTCTTCAAACCTTTGACTGTATATCGAGAAAAAATATCTTGAAATCCGCTTGAATATCTTTAAAATGCGGTGTAAAGCTGTGTACAGTTTGACCTCATCACAGCTGCTGTTCATGAATTAAACGCGGGTTTTGTAGATTAATGAAAATACGTCTGACAACATTAAACAGTCAAAGGTTTTAAGGGAACTGTTGTGAGTCGGGCTTGCTATCTTTCCATGAAGGGTCACTTAAAATTATGCTAACAGTCCCTTTAACAAGAATTGTTTTAATTTATAAAGGAAAATATTTTCTGTTAGAGGCAAAAATTTGCATCATATAATAAAAGCTGGCAAACTTGTAAAGAATAAAATTTTGAAATATGTTAGATCTCATAAAGGCAGCTAGCCTCCCAGTTGATAGAATTAACCTACACTAGAGTCACCGGCGCACCTTCTTTAGTTAAACTTTACAAAAGGAAATTAAAGAAATTTAAAAATACAAATTTAAAAAGTTTCAAGAAAGAAAAAGTTTCCTTGCACAGTAGAGTTGAATCAAATTTATTTGTCCAAGTCCATAAAGAAATTTGTACCGTTAAATCCAAAATGTCCAAAATGCAAGCAAGATAAAATATTTTAGTAAGCTTTGATAAATCTAAAAATTATGAAAATTGGAAAGCCAGGACTGAGAGAAATTCAGATACTTTGTGCTTTTTTCATAATCATGGGTTGAATGTATTACAAGGGTTAAGGGTCCTATATCATAAGGATCTTTTTCTAAACTACAATACATAGATAGACTTTATACATAAAATATTAACTTCACATATTAAACTTTGAACTATGGTAGTTTGAGCTGTACTTGTTGTGAACAAACAGAGTTTGAAAACATATAGATCATAAATGTACATGTACCTGAACATGTACTTGTACATAAATGTACGTTGTGCATGAATAATACAAACTCTTTTTGCATGATAAGGTTTTCACAAATGGGTTCATTTCATTTGAAACTTAAAAATTACTTAAAGATAAAATAAAGTAGAAAAAACTACAAAGCAGATAAAAAAAACAATAATTGGAAAATGTCTACACATCTTTGTTTAATCTAAAATACACACAAAATTGAGACTAAACAATTTGTTGAGAAGCTAGAAAATTTGAGAAAATAGAAAAAGTATAAGAATTATAAAATCTAGAAAGACTCGTAGTTTTTAAATCAGAAATTAAAATTTCTACGAAATATATACAAGTCAAGAGAATTTGAAATATGTTCGTGATCACCTTAAAATAAGATGAAAAAGATTTTGAGCGTTTAGGGTTTTTTTTCAGTGCTGAATTTGTTGGTTATGAAAAGTAGGTTCTTGATGCGTATTTGTGACAACAATTTATATAATAACACAAGACGTATATATGTTCCCTATAGCAGGCCAAAAGGCGCGCTGGACCGAATGGGCTGACATTTTTTGTGGAAACTTATGGGTATCCTGGGGTTGACAAAAACTAATTAAACATTTTAAAAAAATGTTTTCCACGGGCAACACCGGGCCCTTCAGCTAGTTAAACATTCTTTAATTTGTTTCCAATACTTTGAACCTGTTTTAAATGTTTTATTTTAGATGGGCATCTGGGATGTTACTTGATGTTCTAGTTTGGTGCTGTTTGAACATCTGGGATTTTACTTGATGTTCTAGTTTGGTGCTGTTTGAACATCTGGGATGTTACTTGATGTTTTAGTTTGGTGCTGTTTGAACATCTGGGATGTTACTTGATGTTCTAGTTTGGTGCTGTTTGAACATCTGGGATGTTACTTGATGTTCTAGTTTGGTGCTGTTTGAGCATCTGGGATGTTACTTGATGTTCTTGTTTGGTGCTGTTTGAACATCTGGGATGTTACTTGATGTTCTAGTTTGGTGCTGTTTGAATGGAAGATAGCATGCCAGGGTTAAGAATTCCAGCACTATTTACAACCTAAAATATAAACAATCCTTAAACTCGCTTGGAACAAATTCTGGCTGACTTAAAGCATTTAATATTAGTAAATGCTTTCCCTTTTAATCCGTTTTTAAATACTTCAGTGAAATAGTGTTAATCTACAATGCTTTTACCGGCCCGACCCTATCCTATCTCGGCCCGACCCTATCCTATCTCGGCCCGAACCTATCCTATCTCGGCCCGACCCTATCCTATCTCTGTAGGTATAAAATGCCCCAGTTTTATAAAATACAAGTATATAGTGTCAAGTTCTAAGGTAGTGAGATTCATGAAAAAAATAAAAAGTGAGATTTGAAAATCCAAAATGAGAATAAAAAATTGTAACTTTTATTTTCAAACTGTGGTATTGGCGGTAGTGAGATTTCAAAATCCAAAATGATCTATCCTATCTCGGCCCGACCCTATCCTATCTCGGCCAGACCATATCCTATCTCGGCCCGACCCTATCCTATCTCGGCCCGACCCTATCCTATCTCGGCCAGACCATATCCTATCTCGGCCCGACCATATCCTATCTCGGCCCGACCGTATCCTTGCCCTATCCTATCTCGGCCTGGTTTCAACTTTAAGGCGCGGCCAGACTTTTTACAGTACCCGGCCTATCATTGGCCTATTTGGCTTACTCAATAGCATAGTTTAGCGTGAAGGACTGTAGACATTATTAAGTGACCAATATACGGTCACCTTTAAGTTGTCAAAAACGAACGACAAATCAATGTTTTTTTTCTGTACAATGCCTGTAAATGTGACTTGTGGATTTCAGGGGAAGAAAATTCCAAACCGTGCTTATGTACCAAACCTGACACTAAGTGTCAGGTTTAAGCACATCAATTATGATTAACGTTTTAGTAACTCTCCCTGTCTCGAGTGCAAATATCAATTAAAGAAACTATGTCCAACATATTTTTAACTCTGTTATCCTGGCGTCTGGTTTCATGACTGGTTCCCACTCTATTTTCTTAATATGATACAAATCTATTACATTTGATACATTTTTGGAAAGCTCTTCGGCTCTACTTCAATATTCTGAGAATAAATGGGAAATTTGCATAAATCCAAATATTCACTGGGAAGAAAAATTTCGCAAATTGCAACCAATTTTCCATTTTTAAAAAGCCCTTAACCAACGAATTTAAATATGAAAAAACATTTCCAAAATTTTTAAAATAACATAAATGTCTATTCAAGAAAAACTGAAAATGTGAAAATTCCCTTTAGAGACGTCTGTGCAAAAATCTGAGCAAAATTTCTTTGCAAAAATTATGCAATCTGGTTGCTTTTGTTAAAGGTTTTCCATCAATGTTGAAATCTAAGGACTAAAAGTAGGACTCAGGCAGTGTACAGCTTTTAGCCTTAAGTGATGGGCATGTGTTAGTTAGAAAAGTCAGAAAATGTAAGCTTCCTTGCTCAAATCCTTTTTGAGTTATCGCAAAAAACAATTGGGGGGGGGGGGCAGGATAAATAGGGTTAAGCACAACGAGAACTAAAAGTAACACTATTTATTTTTTTTCTAAAATTCAAACTGTAAGTGGTTCATTTTAATAAAGCACCAGTACCGTTGTGAATAGGACATGCAACTCTTTTATTTTATAAACAGAAAGGGTCACTTAAGTTTACAGCTACAGTCCCTTTAAAGGGACAGACCGGATATGTATATATATATAAATAGAGAGGGTCACTTAAGTTTACAGTTACAGTCCCTTTAAGCATTTATTTGCCTCTCATCAATTAGAATATACAGCAATGGTAAACATCAATATCTATGTTTTTCATTTACTAAATTGTTTTTCTTATTTTGGCCACCAGCTAGCTCTCAATCCATTCTATTATTAACCTCTATTTGGGAAATAACAAAACACACAAACTTCATTAAATACATTATGTAATATAGTCATAATGAAATAAAACAAATATTGTGTGATGTAAAGTCATTAGAAATATAAAATAATGAAAGCTATAGTGCATGATAATAGCTTGATACTACCACTGCGCAACTGGGTAGTGTGGTGGAGCGGGGAAGGAGAGGGTGATACCCCTCCCCAGGTGGAGCGGGGAAGGAGAGGGGGATACCCCCCCCCAGGTGGAGCGGGGAAGGAGAGGGGGATACCCCCCCCCAGGTGGAGCGGGGTTTTTTTAATGAACAGGCCTAGAAAAGTTGGACTCAGGACATGTATAACCCTCCCCTATTTCAACTCTAAGGACAAAACCATAGGGGGGGGGGCTGGGATTTCCCCCCCTCTGCCTAACCTATATTAGACAAAAATAGCCCAACCCGGGTTAAATTGATCCTAAGGCAAAAGTTCTTGTACATATGTATATTTTGCTTTTTGACAGAACTAATGGCTAAATTTGACACGTGTTGGAAAAATCTTTAAAACGTTTATTTAAGTCTTATAAAGTGCTAAGTGTTATATTTCTGGTCTTATTAGCAACTAATATTTTGTATAAATGGCACGTTGTAACGTGCTAAATAACGTACTAAACTAATTGTAACATATAAAAGTTGTATAAAGGTACCTTAGCTAAAGCTGGTCCAGGAATAATAAGGGGGTGTGCTCCCATCATCACCTTCAAGTAAATATATATTTAATCTCTTGAAGAAACAAATGAATAGATAAATAGAACGTATATCTTTGCAACCATAAAAAATTGATATTTTATCTTATGAAATTTTGAAGATAAAATAGCTGAACGTTTGAACAGGCAAATAATAATTTCAAAATTTTAACAAACTGTCAAAATACCTAACAGATTGATAGCTATGTGATATAATAAACTGTCAAAATACCTAACAAATTGATAGCTATGTGATATAATAAACTGTGGAAATACCTAACAAATTGATAGCTTAAACTGTCAAAATACATAACAAACTCATAGCTATGTGATATAACAAACTGTCAAAATACCAAACAAATAGATAGCTTTGTGACATAACAAACTGTCAAAATACATAACAAATTGATAGCTATGTGATATAATAAACTGTCGAAATACCTAACAAATTGATAGCTTTGTGATAAAACAAGCTGTCAAAATACCTAAAAAATCGATAGCTATGTGATATAACAACCTGTTAAAATACCTAACAAATTGATAGCTATGTGATATAACAAACTTTCAAAATACCTAAAAAATTGATATCTATGTGATATAATAAACTGTCAAAATACCTAACAAATTGATAGCTTTGTGATATAACAAACTGTCAAAATACCTAACAAATTGATAGCTATGTGGTAAAACAAACTGTCAAAATACATAACAGATTGATAGCTTTGTGATATAACAAACTGTCAAAATACCTCACAAATTGATAGCTATGTGATATAACAAACTGTCAAAATACCAAACAAATTGAAAGCTATGTGATATAACAAAAAGTCAAAATACCTAACAAATTGATAGCTTTGTGATATAACAAACTGTCAAAATACCTAACAAATTGATAGCTTTGTGATATAACAAAATTGTCAAAATACATAACAAACTCATTGCTATGTGATATAAAAAACTGTCAAAATACCAATTAAATTGAAAGCTATGTGATATAATAAACTGTCGGAATAACCAACAAATTGATAGCTATATGATATAACAAACTGTCAAAATACCTAACAAATTGATAGTTATGTGATATAAGAAACTGTCAAAATACCTAACAAATTGATAGCTATGTGATATAACAACCTGCTAAAATACCTAACAAATTGATATCCATGTGAAATAACAACCTGTTAAAATACCAAACAAATTGATAGATATGTGATATAATAAACTGTCATAAAACCTAACAGATTGATAGCTATGTGATATGAAAGAGGTTGAATGAATTCCGAATTGACCTTTATTTTAAATTTAAGAATTTTCTTGAAAAATCGTCCTTGCAGATTTTATTTTGAGACGAAGATATTTGCATAATCATTGTCATTGCCTCAATATATATGTTTAATCAATTAATTTGTTGAAACATTTTTCAATTTCAAATAAACAAGTTGTTCAAATTTTTGACAGTAAATCTTATCATATAAAACATGAAAGTAGGGTTTGCAACGCAAGTGAATTTTACTTGCGCGCAATCGCGAAACCATCAATTCCAAACAATTCCGCGCAACGAAATTCCGACGGAATGGAAACATAAAAATGAGCTTACTCTGAATTCACTGTAATTTATTTTCCCATCTCCGTTTTTATCCACAGTTTTTATCATTTCATCTATCTCCTTGTAAGTCACCTAAATAAATCAGAATACAAAATAAAAAAATAAAAAACTCTGTTCGTCAACAAATGTTCAGCTTCAACTTCTGCTTTTTTATTATTGTGTGAGGCTTGGCTTGGCCTCATCAGGTATATTTGTATCTGGCCCAATTTTAACCTCTTTATTTCAACATTTATTTCAAAGAGAATTGCAGAAATGACTTTGGCACCTTGTTATTCATCTTGTAGTATAATCTTACATTTTTTGGTTACATTTAAACAATTTAAGACTTTTTTATCTCTTAGTAGTTTTCATTTTACTTAACCCTAAAGATAGAATTGAGTTGAATCGAAATAATTTTTCTGTCTTATTGATAGCTTTCAAGTAATCACTTTATTTGACTTCAATGTGAAAATACATTGAAAATATCCCTTGAAAATGTTTACAGACTGGATCGATTTTTAGGTGTCGCAACACCTTGGCCTTTGATTTTACCTCCATAACTTTCTTATTTTTATATGTAGCCCTAGACATGTGAATTATAGAATTTTTATTTTTTTTTCTAAAAGTACTTCTTTTCAGCTTTAGTTTTTAAAAGTAAATGGGCAAAATTTTCATAGATTTTTTACGTAATAGCTTGCACCCATTGGATCACACTAAACAATATATAATCAACCAACATGACACAATTCGTCTCGAGAAACGTTACCAACTTTTTCAGAAAAGTTTAAAACTTTGTATGTATTGAAAATATGAAAAACTGAAAAAGCTCTAACTATTTGCAATATAGTGTATTTATATATTGTGTGTATATAATATATATATATAAACACGGTCTCTAACCAGCTGACTGGGGATTAATGTATATTCAGCAGCTAAAAGGATTAGAGGGGTTGAGTGAGGGCTGTGAGAACATTAGGTCAGGAAGGTTTAGAGATTTAAGTGTGTTTTTTTCATTTTAAAATATTTTTAAGAGGCTCCACAAGAGTCCGAGATGCATCTGTATCTAATAAACGTCAAAATTACTGAACTAAACGGGCTCAACTTTTTGTGGAAATTCACGTGAATGTTGAACAATTTTTATCGAAAAAAATGTCTACATCTATTTTTTTAATTTTCACTAATAAAAAAAATCATAAAAATCACCGAAAAATTTTGTTTTAAAGTTAGGAAAAAAACGCTAAATTTGATAAACAGAAACGAGAGTGTGAAGCGCCCTAAAAGCCTAGTGTTGTTAAAATTTTATTTATCGGATAAACACTAAACTTCTTTGTTACTTGTAGTAAAAAAACTTTGAACGATTATAAAACACCCAGAGCACACTCCTGATTCCGAGTCCATTAGCGCCTGATCCAATCAGGGTTCAGACATGTGTTTGTTGTCTATTCTGAACCAATTATTTGGCGGTAACATCTATCTTTCTACTTATGATATGAAACCTTCAATCGGCGCTATCATTAAATGGAAATATTTACTTCTATTGAAACTTTAGTGAGCACTGATATCTCCAGAAAACTCTGATAGTTATCATTACATATCCAGACTTTGGTTTTACTTCTAATACTTTTTACCACTTATACTTGTTTGTAGCCCTAGACAAACACATTTTAAATTTGCAAAGTACATATTTTTAGCTTAAGTTTAAAAAAGTAATTTTTAAAAGTTGTAAAACTTAACCCCTGAATGCAACAAGTGGCCGTCAGATGTCAGTCAAAAAACATTATAGGCCTGCTCAGCCTATCCAGGTCAAGTTGTATGAGCAGTCTGTGTGTAGTCTGTGGTTTTAATGGTGGGTAAAGGAATGTCATATCTATCAAGTTAAATGAGTAAGAGAACCATTTCTAAAAAAAGTGTGTCATCTCGTCGTGTGCAAAATCATAATTTTTTTTTGCCCAAGGGAGAGAAAGTGATGAATTGCAAACTTTCATGGGAAAAATTTGCACATACAAGATGAATGTAGCTTTTAAAAAAAAATTTTTTCTAATATTTAATATAATTATATATATTTTGGTGTATGTATAAATATGCATAATTTGGAATGCATTTCACCAAGCAAAGTATTCAATATTCATATTCAAACCAGGCTTTCACTGAATACTAAATATATGAATTCAAATTTGAAAACTCTCTTTGAGTTTAAGAATTTGTATTTATGAAGTATGGAGTTTATTTACAAACATAATTTCGTTTTTCACTTTTCACTTTTCGATACAGTTTTGTTTCTATATTTTGTTTCCTTTTTACATTTTAAAACAAGAGCACTGTATTTTCACCGGTCAAAAAAGTACTTTTCCATAGGTATTTCTGATTTAAAAATGCAGGTTTTTTCTAATTTATTTCTCTATAAGGAAGTTCAGTGTATGTTTACATACAGTACAGTTCTGTTCTAATGTATCATTAATGAAGTTCAGTAAGTTCACAAGATACTTATGAGTAAGTCTTGTTTTGTCCGATAGAAATACAGTAAGCTTGTCAGTTTTAAAATAAACATGCCAAGGGCTACAAATAAAGAGAGTTAATGAGGAGACATTAAAGGTCAAATCCATGCGACACTTCAGAGTCGATACAGTTTTAAAAATAAAGAAAACTTTTCACAGTATGCTGAATCAAAGGCCTGGCAGGAGTAGTCCAAATTGCATCCTATCCCCACATTTTTACTGAGCTGTCTCTTTAAGTATTACATTGAATGTAAATGTGAGAAGGATTTAAATATAAAAGATGGAAGATTAAAGAGGAAATTTAAACTCCACAAGCTCTAGAGTTATCAGACCCAGCTACACTGCCAGTAGATAAAACTAAAGGGTGTACATTAAAAAAGGTTTTCACTAAAATTAGATAATAAACACTCTCAAAATCCCTCCTTATGTGTGCGTTTATCATTTCGCGGATTTTTAGTTCATTGTAATAAAGGAATTAAGTTTTTGCCGCAACCTTTTCAATATTCACCCTTTAGACTGGATATCGAATTTATTCAAATTGATAAATGTGATTGCCAGGTATGGGTTTACACTTACAATCATTGTACTGAGCAACTGCTGCATCTCGCTTTGCACTATAGACAGAATGGAGAAGGTCAATGCAATATTATTGGTACGACTTTGTGACATTTCAGCTCATCTAGTTTAATTTTTTTTCAAAAATTTATGAAAAAGCAAACTTTTTTGGTTACACTTATTAATACATAAATATTCTTCTTCTATTATAGCTAATCAATAAAGGTTTTCTTTCGTGAAATTAACTTTAATTGGAAGTGGTATTCATGTTATTGTCATGCATCAATACAACAGAAAAGAAACCCCCCTTCTCAAGTTATGGCGCTCGGTTTCTCTTGTTTTTAAGAAAACATTTGCAGCAACCGCGACACCATTTTGATAAATATCTACATGCTTTTTCCTTTAATTTAATACTAATAATTATCATGTATTTTTATGTCCATTAATGAACATTTTTTTTAAGTGCGCTCTGTTCCTTTTAAAGTTAGGACGCAGAAAAACATTTATCTTAATCTTGAAAGTTACATTCCTACATTCCTTGTCTTAGGTTGAGGTAGGACGCATTTCCTCAGTAAAGTTTTTTTTGGATTGATTTTAACCCTTTCTCTGCAAAAAATATGACAAATGATACATCATTGGAAAGCTCTTGTGCTCTACTTTTAGAATCTGCAAAAAAATTTGCAAATTTGCAAAAATTGAATTTTTTATCGCAAAATCTAGTTATATAGTAACAATGTTTGCAAAAAAAATATGTCCAAAAAATGAAGAATTATACATTTTTGAAAAGCCCTTGACTATGCCATTTCAAATATGCAAAATTTTTTGCAAAATTTTAAATAACCTGATTTTATATCAAGAAAAACTAAAAATGTGCAATTTTCCTTTGACAGGTTATTTGCAAAAAATTTGAATTTTTTTTCGCAAAACTTGTGCAATTCGTTTCCTTATGTCAAAGGCTTTCCAAAAAGCTAAATTTTATCAAAATCTGACAAGTGTAAGTGGGTCAAAACAAAGATTTAGTTTGTTACAGGAATAGCAGTCATTCACGCAGTGTGCCTGAGGACTCATGCAGTTAGTATTAAAGCCCGGTTTTAGGCCTAAAAGGAGGGCTTTGAGTATGTAGGAAAAGTCAAAAAATTTCAACAGCCTCAGACCAATACTTTTTGAGTTATGTAAAAAAAAACTATAGGGGGGAGTCAAATTAACCCCCCCCCATGCAGGAATAGGGTTAAAAAATGGTAATTTAAGTCAAGTACTTCTTTGTATTATTAATAGTCATAAGCTGTTTCTAATTTAAAGCATACTATTAAAAATTTTAAGTCCACATTTATAAATTCAAAGTCCGCTTACAAATTTTAAGTCCACTGACCACTGTTAAAAGATTAACGGTACTTAATCCTTTATCCGACAATTCCCTTCAATGTTTCTGCACCAAAATTCCGGAAACCATTTTTTTACAGAACCCAAAAATTGAAAATAATCAAGTTTTTTAATCAAAAAAAATCTTTAAAAAGAGAGTCAATTGAAGTTACGTCCACAGTCCACAGTTGAAGTTATGACCACTATTTCCGGATTAAAGTTTAAAGATTTCTACCTTTCCTGGAAGATGGGTTAGAACAAACTTCAGTTCCTCAGCAGTTATACAACCTTAACAACAATGGATTAATATAAAGAAATCACAAGTTTGAGAATAGGATTAGTAAATTTGAACTGCAACTTTGCTCTAATTTCCAATCCCTTTATCTTTGCAACCCAATCCCGTAGACCTAAGATGTTTAAATCTATGAATTCTGTTCGATCAAATAATCTTAACTTTGAAATATCAACCATCAGGTTGCAAAGAAATAGGGATTAGAAAGTTTGAGTTTATTGCAAAGACTCAATTCCTTTGAACCGGCAGTAGTTTGGCAGTTTAGTGAACTAGCTCAAATTCATTAAACTCGGTCCAACGTTGGAATGTCTTGAGTATTGAAATGATAACAAGAACTTTATAAACCACTATGCAATCTGTGTTCCTCCTTATCCGTTGGGATTAATCGTTACGTTAACCCTAATCTTATCCGTTTCATCCGACTCAAATCACGACACTAATTGGTCATCTTTTCCGGAGTCGACCAGCAAGAGGTTCGGATGCTTTGTGCTATCTCAATCATGCAAGTTTATTTTGATCAACAATATTTCTACCTTCGTCGTCTTTACTGAACACTCTAAAGGTTTCTTTCAACTCGTTTTCCTGTAAAAAATATATTAAATTATTATGATAAAAGGGACTGTTCACTTATTTGGGTAATTGAGGGTAAACTAAATAGCCATAAGGATTGGTATTAGTCTTACTTTTCAAAGAAAATAATGGCCGAGAAAGGTGATTTATCATTCAGAATTCCAGCGCAAGGTATTCACACTAATTGATGTTTTTTTTGTCATAGTCATGGATTTAAAAAAGAATTTAAAATATCAAATTTAATTGCAGTATCTAATTGTTGATATTTTTAATTTCTTTTCAAAATAATATTAAAATTGTCTATTTTTAAAATATTTTAAACATTTGACGATTTTATACGTTTTCCTACTTCCCCGGGAATCCCCGTGATTTATTCAAGAGTTGGAGTCTAGGAACTGGTTTGTCTGAGAGAGAAAGTCGTCTTTGTATAAATATGTTAATTTGTTAAATCATGTTTGAACTCAAAAAACGTTAATTTCTTGCTAATTCCAAAATCAAAAGTTTTTATATTTTATTGTATTATGGCTGACACATGATGTCATTAAAATATGATAATTTTAGATTTTATTGGACTGTTGTTACTGAAAAACGTGTAAATAGTGTCTTTGCAAGGGTATCAGACCTTTGCGCTGGAATTCTAAACGATAAATCGGTTTTTTCTCCGGTCATAGGCATCTTTGAAAAGTAAGAATTAATACCAATGAATAGCTAATAGACTAATTAGTTTACCATGAAATCACCCAAATAAGTGAACGGATATAATATAATTTATTTTAAGAGGATGTCGATTTAAAATTATGATTGATAATTTTCGATTTCAAATTCACTGTGTTAAGTTGATGCTTATCTATATATGCACTAGAAAAAAAATGAAATATGAAATAGAAAATCAACGATATAATTCTCATTGTTACTCAGATAGGGGTGTTAAGGACACAATTAAAAATTGAGTACGTAATTTTGTGAATGTAGGATCGCTTGAAATTTTGTTGATTTTTCCCTTTGTTGTAAAATTTAACTTTCTCTCACCTGAAAGTTGTTCAAACTGAAATAAAAATAATATTTTCCCAATTTTGTTCAATTTTCTCCTTTAGTTTGTTTTAACCCAAGATAACATGAAAGTTTTCAAGAGAAAACATTTATCAAAAGGTTACTTTGCTGTAGATCATCAAGTTTTTATCAAAGGTTCTGTTCTAAGGTTTGGTCATTTGACAGTATGCTCACGATAAACTGTCAAAGGCTATAAGACGAAACGGCGGAAATTCAGTAATAATTCCATCATGGGCAGTCGTAGTACATTTGAATTTCCGAGCCGGCTCAACGTTTCCGGTCCCAGTTTGTACTGAATCCCCGGACATCGGGTAAATTAAGCAGACACTCAATAGGATTAGCCGGTGCAACAAGGTTGACACGGTCAGACTTTAGGTTGATTTACTTTTACTAAATGGTCAGGGGTGCGTGCCATATTAGAGGAAAATTTGTCAGCTTCGTTCTTTCTTTAAGATAAAAGTGCCTCATAGGATTTTGGATTTTGTAACTGTTTTGAACTTAAACTGTATCTTCGACATGCAGAGATGTTTCAGTTTCAATAATAATAAAAATATATCAGCAGTTTATTCACTAGCCCCCACTGAGCGAATTTTCAAAATAATTTAAATTGTTCTAAAAGATGAAGATCTTACGATTTGTGTCATGTTAATTTACATTATTCGCTCAAGGGCGATGTAATTTGTAAAAATAGAATATTGTTAATATTAGTGACCAGTTCCTTTAAAATAAGATTATGAGACTTACTGTATCTGTATCCTGTAGCTTTTTATGCATCATCAAACAGAATTCAGGGAACTCAAGGAATCCAGATCCATCAACATCCACCTATCAAAAATATGAAAAATGGATATAATGAATTTTGAATAGATTAAAGAGAGTTTATATTGAATTCTATTTTCTGAATATCGATTAGAGGTGAAAATACACTACTTTTAAAAGCAAAACTTAAATGGTCTCTTTTTGTAAATGTACGTAACTTTCATTGAATTGAAATGTGGTGGATTGATCCTGAATTGAAATAAAGTAGATTTGATCCTAATTTGAAATGTGGTGGAGAATGATCCTGGATTAAAATGTGGTAAATTGATCCTGAATTAAAATGTGATAAATTGATTCTAATTTTGTCTGTGGTGGATTGATCTACAATTTAAATGTAGTAGATTGATACTATATGGAAATAATGAGGATTAATCCTAAATTGAAATGTGGTGGATTGGTCCTAAATTGAAATGCTGTGGATTGATCCTAAATTGAAATGAGTTGGATTGATCCTAAATGAAAATGATGCGGATTGATCCTGAATTAAAATATAGTAGATTGATCCTGAATTAAAATTAAGTGGATTATTCCTAAATTAAAATGTGGTAGATTGATCCAAAAAAAGAAATGTTATGAATTTCTCCTAAATTAAAAATGTAGTGGATTGATTTTAAATTGAAATGTGGTAGATTGATCCAAAATTAAAATGTGGTGGATTGATCCTCAATTGAAATGGTGTGGATTGATCCTAAATTGAAATGTTGTGGATTGATCGTTAATTGAAATGTAATGTATGTGATGTGATCCTAATTGTTATTTGGGGGATTGATTATAAATTGAAATGTAGTTTATTGATCTTTAATTGAAATGTAATGTATTGGCCCTTAATTGAAATGTGGAGTATTGGTCCTAAATTGAAATGTGGTGTATTGATCCTAAATTGAAATGTTGTGGATTGATCCTAAATTGAAATGTTGTGGATTGATTCTAAATTGAAATGTAGTGAATTAATCTTAAATTGAAATGTAGTGGATTAATCCTGAATTGAAATGTTGTGGATATTTTCAATTTTAATTCCTATTTGATAGATATCAGTAAAAAATATGATTTAAGAAGAAAACAATCTAAGTTTGTCTGTTTTCTCTTTGAATCCATCCAACTAAACTTTTTTGTTTGTTTGTCCTAATAAAGTGCATTTAATCCTGTCTTTCCATCTTAAAACCCTTTTTTTTCGGTGAGTTTCCTTTTTCCTTTTCTCTATCCGTAATCTCATGCTTTTCATTTCTTACAAAAAAACCAATAATCGATTATTCAGTCCTAAATTTCTACAATTAAAGCTGTGTATCCTTTTTAACATTAAAGAATTGAGTGATTGCCACAAAATCTGATGTTATAATCTAATATCTTTGCAGCCCAATGTCGTGCAGGTCCGTTAATATTTCAAACTATGAATTCTGTTAGATCAAACAATCTAACTTGAAATATGAAAGGGTAAAGACTCAATTAATTCCGTCTGTTAGTTTTTTTTAAATCCTGAGAAGTCGAACCATCTTGAAATATTTGTTCAATAAGTGTGAAATTTTTTGTGTCAGAGTTTAACAATTTTCAAAATGATAAAGTAAACTTTTATAAATTTTGTTTAACCTACCTCATTTATCATGTCCTGAACCTCTGCCTCTGTTGGATTCTGACCGGCGCGCCGCATTGCCGCGTGGAGCTCCTAATAAGTGGAATCATTAAACGAATTTTAGGGTAAAGTTGAAAATTAAGCTAATTCTAGGCTTACTAGACTTTCAGAGCCCCTCGCGCCCATCTTCTAGTCAGGCCCGTAGCTAGGAATTTCTGAAGGAGGGGGCACAAAAGTTATAAATAGCACAGATGGATAAGTAAAGAGCGGCGGTTTACCTAAAAAAACTCTATCAGGGTAAAAATTAATGAGTTAAGACTAAAAAACTAGATTTGTAACTTGTCACACATTATAGTTTATTAAAATAATAAATAACTGAGAAGCTATGTGCATCAGAACAAAAATAGCTGGAGGTATTATAAGACGTAGAGTTTTGAGTTAAACTTTAAATAAATATACTACTGATAATATTTTAATCACGAATAGCCAATGGAAAGTATATGATGTAAATGCAGGCTTAGTAGAATCTGTTTGTACTTATCCTCAAGCTTGCAGGGGAGTTTTTGACAAAACTGAAGATTTAATCAAAAAAAGCTCATGCATAAAAATCTTCAATTTTCTTAAAACTAAAACTCGAAAAGAACAGCTTCTCCTAAACCTGGCCATATTTTGTATAAAATTTAAATTTGTCTCCATGTTGCTGTTCTATGGTTCATCAGAATCATTTATCTAATAAAAGAAGGGAAAAGAATAAGCTTCTGTTAATGCAAAAAAAAATATAAACAGCTTTCATCTCACAAGATAGGATAGAATAAATATTCCCTAATTTATTTCAGGAAGTACTCAATTTGTCTTTCATTTGAAGAAAAAAAAAAGCTGAACACATAATATTGGCAACAAAAATAAGATTTTATGCCAATTTTTCCCCTTTTTTCCTTCTTTCTTTCAAATTTTTCGTTTCCTTCTTTTTATCCCCCCCCCTTGCAGAAATGACTTTGGCANTAGTTTAGCGTGAACCAGGATATAATTTACTTTAGTTTAAAGTAAACCAGGATAGAATTTACTTTAGTTTAACGTGAACCAGGATAGAATTTACTTTAGTTTAGCGTGAACCAGGATATAATTTACTTTAGTTTAAAGTAAACCAGGATATAATTTACATTAGTTTAACGTTAACCAGGATAGAATTTACTTTAGTTTAGCGTGAACCAGGATATAATTTACTTTAGTTTAACGTGAACCAGGGTATAATTTACTTTAGTTTAAAGTAAACCAGGATATAATTTACTTTAGTTTAACGTGAACCAGGATATAATTTACTTCAGTTAAACGTGAACCAGGATAGAATTTACTTTAGTTTAACGTGAACCAGGGTGTAATTTACTTTAGTTTAAAGTGAATCAGGATAGAATTTACTTTAGTTTAAAGTAAACCAGGATAGAATTTACTTTAGTTTAACGTGAACCAGGATAAAATTTACTTTACTTTAACGTGAACCAGGATATAATTTACTTTAATTTAATTTGAACCAGGTTGGAATTTCCTTAAGTTTAACGTGAACCAGGGTAGGATTTACTTCAGTAAGTGAACTAGGATATGATTAAAAAACTATTTCTTGGCTTGCTCCAGCCTAAACCACAGTAAATAAGAACACTTAAAACCATTCGCCAATACCCCTAGCTGTCTCAAGAGAATGATACAGGGTTCCCCACAAAGGATAAGACAGGGAATTTATTCAGTCTGTTTTCTCACAGTTATGGTTGCCTGCAGGCTCAGCTCTAAACCTGTTTTATCACATCCAAACCTTCTAATTTACCATTGTTAGACTGTATTTCCAGCAGAAACCATAGTTGTATACAGTTTCAGGTTGTCATAAAAGTCTTATCCTTTGTGGGTAACCCTGTATGTCCCAGACAAAGTCTATAAATCAGTTGCAATATCAAGTATGCTGTTCTACCTGCACAAAACAACTCTAGAGACAATAAAAAACATTGCTGTGTACAAGTATTCTGCATATAATGATATACTATCTGTACAATAGTACAAATATTCTGCACGTAATGATATAAATATCTGTACAACAGTACAAATATTCTGCACCTAATGATATAAATAATCAAAATAAAGAAAGGGTGAATATGAAAAATATGTTAAACTGTAATGTAAAACGGTACATTGGTGTACGAACTCTGCAGCTTTGAACTAGAGACCTGAGATAGTAACTATTGTATTGGTATTCTCTGACAAAAGCGTTAATCTGTGTCATTTTAGTGAAACGGATTAAGTTATTTTTTTTTGAACAACTTTAAAGCTTAATTCAATCCGACGTCACAAAGAAATCTGCTCTCGGCCATTGAGATATCAACAAAATAAAAGTCAACCTGTTATACGGTTTAGCGATATCTCATTCAATAGCTTTTGTGTGCAGAAAATCTAATATTAATCAATTATAAACAACAAACTTTGTTTTATCCCAGAGGACTAACTTAATCTAATTCTCATCAGACAGTTCTAATTTAACCCAGCTGACTTGTGCCCTAATAAATTCCGGACAAATTGTATACGGTCAAAACGTTTGTTGTTGAATAGTTGTGTTGGGTTTTATTTAACAGCTTTAGTTTATCTTTGTTTACAATTATATATTTCATTAATTTAAACATATCAAATGCAGATTTGTAGGCAGCCAACTCATCTGGTCGCAGCTTATCAACCATAACGACACTCAACCTAAATAATTGCATATATTGATGTAGGCAGCTTATCAACCATAACGACACTCAACCTAAATAATTGCATATATTGCAATTATTTTCACCATTTTGCATAGTTCTAAAAAAGCAAATGTTTTAAAATTGTTAATTCTGAACATTTCTCACTAAATGTTAAATGTTGACCCTAACAGAATATATATGCAAAAAATGACTCAATAAAACTATCCCGAAATTATGCAAAATCGAACGTGTTGTGACGTTTCTTAATAGTTATACCCACAGACTACACAGACTGCTTAATGCTTATCTTCGTTCACAGGGTGGGCTACGTAGGCCTAAGTTTACAACTTGTAAAGAAATACTCCAATGTTAAACATGAACATAACATTTATGAATTCAGTCTTTTTTGAAGATTTTGTGTTTCATATCCAAAGGATCCTTAAATATAAAAAATTTTATGCATAATTTTATATTATAGATTATAGATTTTCGTATAATTTGACTCAGTTTTATATCAATTTCTCGAGACAGGATCTGAATGCTCCTAAAATGCTTAGGTTTCAGCCTACACCCCTTTTCATTTTGCAGTCCCTTTAAATTATGATTTTAAAAAGTTCAATGAACACTAGACACAACAATTTTGCTGTGAAAATGTAGATTTTTTACTGTGCAAATTATTTACTTTATACCAATAGAAAAAACATGTAATCTTCCTAGTTCACATTTTTATAAGTCCCACTGCATTATAATTTTGTTATTACAAAAACAAGATGGAAATAAAAATAATTTCATGATTTGAAAAATGTTAATCTGAGTTAATAGCTTCATACCTCCTGTCATTTTTAGCGAACATTTTATTCAATAACTTTGGTAATTTTTCTTCGGCATTCATTTAATTCCGGTCAATATACCTTGTAAAGTTATATACAGGGTTTCCCAAAAAACATATGGGAATTCAGTGACGATTTTGATTTCGTCTTTGTAAATGATTTTTTGATTTATTATGGGGATTGCTACCAGGAAAACTGTAAACCGTAGATGTTTTGTTTGCTAGAGTTAAGAATTTTTTATTTATGTATAAATAATATACTGGTGTACAGGGTATCCTACGAAATATGACAGTGAGTAGTTTAAAATGTCCTCTTTCATTATTTGTCTGATACCAAGGAGAATAATTAACAATATTACATGGCAGTCATATTACAGTAAAATGGATTTCAAAGAATTTGTGTAAAAGATTTTTTTTAAAGCTGTAAAAAGTCTTTAATATCTAGTATTGTATATGGAAGAAGACATTCAAAACTATTTACCAACTGTCATGTTTCGTGGGAAACCCGGTACTTAGTAAATTGATAAATTTCTGTTAGAAATAAAATAGATAAAACAACGATTTGCTGAATAACAATAATTGTACTGTGTCCGAATTTAATGACTTTGAGCCTCGTCTTAAATCCGCTAAAAAGCGGTTTCAATTGAGCGCCTTATTTTAATTGGAACAAACCATATTTGAGCCGTGTCTTAAATTTAAGCCTCAGCTCAAATTCTTTAAATTCGGCCTCTGTATACATAAAATATACTCTGGCAGACGTATCTTTATTTAGAAATTGTACATCGCTGATTCTTAACAAAGACGATCTCGAATTTGTCTCTTTATTCCGATGTTTTTGGGACACCCTGTACTAAGATATAATATGTATACATGTACTTACATACTTAATCTAAAGTATCCACTATAAATACATAGATATAAAGGATTAAGACACAATACACAATATATACATTATTCCCGTAATATCAATGATGTGTAATCATATGTATTCTTACATAAGACTTATGTTCATTATTCAATTTGTTTGTCATGAAAGTTCATGCATTTTATATTATTACCATAAAATGACTTTATGCCTCTCTTTTACTTAATAAAAAAAAACTATGAAAATTTGGTGGATTTTTTGTTTTTAATGGCGGAGTTATGAAATCTTTATAAAAACCAAATTTGTTTTTAAACGAAGTTTTTCAAATTTCAATTGGTGCTTATCCTAGCTTCTCTGGGATCATGTTAGTTGCACCAAAAATATATGGTCCTGATAGGTTTAGCTATTGGTGTGTTATATGGTCCTGATAGGTTTAGCTATTGGTGTGTTATATGGTCCTGATAGGTTTAGCTATTGGTGTGTTATTGGATGCAAAGAAACAATTTAACAGTAAAAGAAACACAAAGTCTATCCCTATGTTTCAACCCGATGTCGTAGATATTAAATATTTCAAACCATGAAATTAAATATATAAGTTTGAAATATCTAAGATTTACACCAAACTATAGTTTCACTAGACTTAAATATTTCCATTTACTGATAGCGCCGATTGAAGGATTCATA